GTGTGTGAAGGTTGTGCTCTGGGAAAACAGACTCGAGTGCGCTTCCAATCAAACACTACAGCTCGCACCTCTCAAACTCCTCGAAGTGATTCACAGTGACGTATGCGGACCGATGTCGATGGCAACTTTCAGTGGAAAACGGTACTTCGTGACATTCATTGATGACAAGTCAAGATACTGTGTCGTCTATCTGCTCAAGAGCAAATCTGAAGTTGCGGCGAAGTTCATGGAATACGCTGCGATGGCCGAAACGCAACCGGAAAGCGCGTGAAGTACCTTCAAAGCGACAATGGGGGTGAATACAAGTCCGACAAGCTGGCACGATTCTGCGCGGAACGGGGAATACAACAAAGGTTCACACCCCCATATACTCCTCAGCTAAACGGAGTAGCTGAGAGAATGAATCGCACGCTGGTCGAGTGTGCGCGTTGCATGATGGAACACGCTGGACTGGGAAAGAGCTACTGGGGTGAAGCAGTGATGACGGCGATGTTTCTTCGAAACCGCTGTCCAACACGTGCCATTCACCAAGACAAGTCTCCATATCAAGTGTGGACGATGAAGAAACCGATTCTGGCCAACCTTAAAGTGTTTGGATGCCACGCGTATGTTCAAGTGCCTCAAGACAAACGCGCGAAGTTCGACTCCAAGTCATCACTCTGTCGTTTCCTGGGATACGCCGAACACCAGAAGTCATATCGATTTGAGGGAGTGTCAACAGGAGCGATCAAGATCAGTCGCGATGCCACATTCATGGAAGACAAGTTTGATGAAGGTCCGCGCAACTACAACGATGAGTCAAGTGTCGTTGAGTTTGATGATCATGATGAGGACGAAGAAAAAGAAGAAGGTAAAACTGACGACGACATGGACTCGAGCGACGATGACAACGAAGACACCAGGTCTTCGAAGAGCAACATCAAGAGACACACGCGCACTCAATCACTTGAGAAAGCTACCGTCATTCCAAGTCCCAAGCGAAGAACATACAGAGGTCCGTCGCTTGAGCATGTGTCAGCGGCTGCAATGGATTTTGAAGCAGCCTACATCGTTGATTCAGTGGGGAAACGCCGACTACATTCAAGTCGGCGATGGAATCAAGCGACTCCGGCAAGTGGAAAGAAGCGTGTGACTCGGAGTTCGATTCGCTTCAGAGAAACGACACGTGGGAAATCGTGCCTCTTCCGAAAGGTCGCAAGGCCATCGGGTGCCGATGGGTTTTTCGTGTAAAGGAGAATCAAGATGGCGAAGTTGAACGTTTCAAGGCAAGACTTGTGGCCAAAGGATTCTCACAGAAATTCGGAGTTGACTATGAAGAAACTTTCGCACCGGTGGCCAAGTTCACATCGATTCGTGTGGTGCTCAGTATGGCGGCCAAGTACGGCCTAATGCTACATCAGATGGACGTCAAGACAGCGTTTCTTAACGGCTCCTCAACGAAGACATCTACATGGACCAGCCGGACGGATACCTGGATGCAACACAGCCGGACTATGTGTGCAAGCTAAAGAGATCACTCTACGGCTTGAAGCAATCGCCTCGCATGTGGAACCAAACAATCGATGGGTTCATGATCAAGATGGGATTCAAGAAGTGCGAATCGGACCACTGCATCTACATCAAGCGAGACGACCAAGACATGATTCTCGTGGTGCTCTACGTCGATGATCTCATCCTGGCCAGCAGCAACAACGAACTCCTCAAGTCGACCAAGATGGCGCTGAGCAAACGCTTCGAAATGACGGATCTCGGTGAGCCTCGATTACTTTCTCGGCATGGAGATCAAGAACGACCGTAAGACGGGAATGGTGACTGTACAACAAACCAAGTTTCTCAAGTCCGTGTTGACCAAGTTCGGAATGGATAACAGCAAGCCAGTGAAGACGCCTCAAGATCCCGGCCTGAAGCTAACCAAGAACATGTGTGAACAAGAATGCAAGCACGAAGACACCATGTGCAACGTGCCATATCGAAGTGCTGTCGGAGGCATCATGTATCTCATGGTCGCCACACGTCCGGATCTAGCTGCTGCAGTGGGATCATTATCCCAGTTCTCGTCCGACCCATGCCCGACTCACTGGCAAGCTTTGAAGCGTGTGCTGAGATACCTGCAAGCAACGCCCAATCATGGTCTTGAGTTTACACGTGAAGAAGGAAGCCGTATCTGCGGGTACACCGACGCAGACTGGGCCGGCGACATTGAGTCAAGACGAAGTACAAGCGGATATGTGTTCATGATGAGCGGAGGATGCATCAGCTGGAAAAGCCAGAAACAACGGACGGTCGCGCTATCTTCAACAGAAGCAGAATACATGGCGCTTTCCGAAGCAACCAAAGAAGCAGTATGGCTCAAAGTGCTTTTGGGGGAACTTGGTGAGATGACAAGCGACGAAGCGATCAAGATGTATGAAGACAACCAAGGATCAATCGCTCTCGCCAAGAACCCGGAGTTCCATAAGAGAACAAAACACATCGACATACGCTACCATTTTGTGCGTGAGAAGGTGGAATCAGGTGAAGTCGTTTTGGAGTATTGCCCGACTCAAGATATGCTGGCAGACATGATGACCAAGACGATCGCCGCTGTACAATTTGAAAACATTCGCGATCGACTTGGGATCCAAGGTGCCGCAGCTAACGAGTCGAGAGGGAGTGTTGAAAAGACAGCGGCTGTGAAGAAGACACCTCGTCAAGCTGCGTCAAGTGTTGAAGCAAGTGGAAGACCAAGCTTCGCTATACCAGTGGGTACCGGTATGTACCAGTAAGGGCGAAGTCAGGAAATGACGTCACTGGATGACGTCATTGCATGACGTCAGTGGGTGACGTCAGTGGGTGACGTCACTGGATGACGTCACTGCGAATAATAGGCTTAGAGGTAGTATTCAAAGTTGCGAACTAAGTACCTATTATAAATATATATTCACTTTGCGTTTTGCACTCGGACCAAGAAGTCTAAAGTTCATCACGGACATCGCCTATGCTGTAAGCTTTGTGTCACGGTTCATGGAGAAACCCCAAGAAGAACACTGGGTTGTAGTCAAGCGCATCTTCCGCTACCTACAAGGCACCAAGATGCATGGAATCTGCTACAAGCCAAGTGCGAAGATCGACTTTCGTGGCTATTCAGATGCAGACTGGGCCGGTGACCTTGCTGATCGCAAATCGACGTCCGGCTACGTCTTCATGCTATTGGGTGCTCCGGTGAGTTGGGGCAGCAAGAAACAGCCAAGTGTGTCACTGTCTACAAGCGAAGCGGAGTACATCGCGCTCAGCCTGGCGATCCAAGAAGGCAAGTGGATCAATCGCTTGCTGTGCGAGATCATGGCGGCTGCAAACGAAGAAGGACCCGAGCTCGTCATCCGTGAAGACAACCAGTCGTGCATCAAGATGACGAAGAATCCGGTCAACCACGGCCGCGCTAAACACATCGACATCAAGTACCATCACATCCGTGATGAAGTCAAGCGCGGCGAAGTGAAGCTTGAATACTGCGAGACGACGTTGATGTTGGCGGACATCATGACGAAGGGACTTCACGGACCGCGTCACAAGGACTTGACGGCGGCGCTTGGCATCCGTGCGTGTTCGGATTGAGGGGGCGTATTGAGGGTTACCGATACAATTCGAGCTTAAGCGTAGTTTTTACGGGATAGTTTTTACATCGGTAATTACCTCAGAGATGATTAGACGCGTAGGATGATTGGACGCGTGTAAATCAGGTTGATTAGATGCACCATGTGATTGGATGCAGTCTAGGGTAGGCAGAAGTTAAGACCTATAAATCAATCACTTTCGAATCCTCCCTCAAGTGAGCAAGTGTTCTCTGCTTCGTTCTCTCCGGTCTCTCCGCTTCGTTTTCTCTTCGCCTCGCGCTCAAGTTACAACAAACTTGGCCACCGGTGCGAAAGTTTCTTCATAGTCAACTCCGAATTTCTGTGAGAATCCTTTGGCCACAAGTCTTGCCTTGAAACGTTCAACTTCGCCATCTTGATTCTCCTTTACACGAAAAACCCATCGGCACCCGATGGCCTTGCGACCTTTCGGAAGAGGCACGATTTCCCACGTGTCGTTTCTCTGAAGCGAATCGAACTCCGAGTCACACGCTTCTTTCCACTTGCCGGAGTCGCTTGATTCCATCGCCGACTTGAATGTAGTCGGCGTTTCCCCCACTGAATCAACGATGTAGGCTGCTTCAAAATCCATTGCAGCCGCTGACACATGCTCAAGCGACGGACCTCTGTATGTTCTTCGCTTGGGACTTGGAATGACGGTAGCTTTCTCAAGTGATTGAGTGCGCGTGTGTCTCTTGATGTTGCTCTTCGAAGACCTGGTGTCTTCGTTGTCATCGTCGCTCGAGTCCATGTCGTCGTCAGTTTTACCTTCTTCTTTTTCTTCGTCCTCATCATGATCATCAAACTCAACGACACTTGACTCATCGTTGTAGTTGCGCGGACCTTCATCAAACTTGTCTTCCATGAATGTGGCATCGCGACTGATCTTGATCGCTCCTGTTGACACTTCCTCAAATCGATATGACTTCTGGTGTTCGGCGTATCCCAGGAAACGACAGAGTGATGACTTGGAGTCGAACTTCGCGCGTTTGTCTTGAGGCACTTGAACATACGCGTGGCATCCAAACACTTTAAGGTTGGCCAGAATCGGTTTCTTCATCGTCCACACTTGATATGGAGACTTGTCTTGGTGAATGGCACGTGTTGGACAGCGGTTTCGAAGAAACATCGCCGTCATCACTGCTTCACCCCAGTAGCTCTTTCCCAGTCCAGCGTGTTCCATCATGCAACGCGCACACTCGACCAGCGTGCGATTCATTCTCTCAGCTACTCCGTTTAGCTGAGGAGTATATGGGGGGTGTGAACCTTTGTTGTATTCCCCGTTCCGCGCAGAATCGTGCCAGCTTGTCGGACTTGTATTCACCCCCATTGTCGCTTTGAAGGTACTTCACGCGCTTTCCGGTTTGCGTTTCGGCCATCGCAGCGTATTCCATGAACTTCGCCGCAACTTCAGATTTGCTCTTGAGCAGATAGACGACACAGTATCTTGACTTGTCATCAATGAATGTCACGAAGTACCGTTTTCCACTGAAAGTTGCCATCGACATCGGTCCGCATACGTCACTGTGAATCGCTTCGAGGAGTTTGGAGGTGCGAGCTGTAGTGTTTGATTGGAAGCGCACTCGAGTCTGTTTTCCCAGAGCACAACCTTCACACACGTCCCACTTCTTCACCGAAGATATGTCGATGCCAATTCCAATGTTCTTCGTCACGATGCAATTGAGTCCATCGTGACCTATGTGGCCAAGCCGAAGGTGCCAGAGGTACGACTTGGTGCCCCCTTGACATCCCGACGACTTGGCTGCATTTGCTTGTTCCGGCGCCACTGGAGTCATTTGCAGCTTGAACAGTCCTTTACCTTCACGGGCACCAATTTTCCACTTGGTCCCTTTCGCTTCTCCATAGCACCCATCCTTAGTGAACGTCACTGGGCCGACATCCTTGGTGAAGCGGCCGACCGAGAACAGGTTTCTGGATAACTTTGGGATGTGCCACACGTTTGTGAGCACACCTTTCTTCATCCCTTGGGGTGTCTTCATCGACATGACAATGTCCCCACTGCCGATTGCTTGGACGATTCCATCATCCGCGAGATGGACATCCACAGCGTCAAACCCCTTGTAGTTCCGCATGAACTTCTTGAAGCACGTCATGTGCTGCGTCGCCCCGGAGTCGACCAGCCAGATGTCGCTCGATTTCGCAGATGTCGTTTCACCGATCGAAAAGAGGTAGTCGCCCGAGTCTTCTTCTTGAGCGACGTTTGCACGTTGTGATCGATAGCGGTCGCCGCTGTCTTGAGCACGCTGTGGCCGGTGTCTCTCCGTGTTTTCTTGGATGCGCGAGGGGCACTCCGCCATCCAGTGACCAATCTTTCCGCAATTGTGGCACGGCCAGGACTTCTTCACTGGTCGCCCTTTGCGCTGATTGTCCCTTGTGATGAACGCTTGACCTTGCGAAGCTTCATTACCTTTACTTCCTTGCTCCTTCCGCTTCATTTCTTCATGAAGCAGTCGAGACGTCACGAGCTCCCAGCTAAGAGTGTCTGAGCGCGACTCCAAAGCTGTGATCAAGAATTGATACGAGTCACTCAGGCTGCCGAGAAGTGTGATCACCAGATCGTCCTCGCAGACTGGAGCCCCCACCGCTTCTAGCTGTTCCGCCAGCGTCTTGAGCTTGTTGATGTGTTCGAGCACATCGTCGCCTTCTTCCATCATTGTCGTGAAGAAGCGACGGCGCAAGAACAGCTTGTTGGCAAGACTCTTCTTCTCGAAGTGGTCTTCCAACCTTGACCATGCGTCGCATGCACCACTTGCCGACCGGACCAACGGTAGCTGGGAATCTTCCATGGCTAGACAGATCACTGCCATCGCCTTTCTTGACTTCCTCTTGTACGTCGCTTGGTCCAACTGAGTCTCGCACTGTTCCGCCTTGATCTCACCGCTGACGACCTCCCATAGGTCCCGTTCCTCCAGCACCATCTGCATCTTGAACTTCCAGGCGTGGAAGTTAGTTCCATCGAACTTGGAGGTGCGGAGGGAGGAGGCGTCCATGGCAGCTAAGCTTGAATTGTTGGCGGTTTCAGAGTCTGACGAACTTGGGCTCATAACCTGATGAACTTTAGACTTCTTGGTCCGAGTGCAAAACGCAAAGTGAATATATATTTATAATAGGTACTTAGTTCGCAACTTTGAATACTACCTCTAAGCCTATTATTCGCAGTGACGTCATCCAGTGACGTCACCCACTGACGTCACCCACTGACGTCATGCAATGACGTCATCCAGTGACGTCATTTCCTGACTTCGCCCTTACTGGTACATACCGGTACCCACCGGTATAGCGAAGCTTGGTCTTCCACTTGCTTCAACACTTGACGCAGCTTGACGAGGTGTCTTCTTCACAGCCGCTGTCTTTTCAACAGAGAGACCGAAGAGAGTAGAGCAGAAAACACTTGCCCAATAGTTGGAAGATTCGAAAGTGATTGATTATCGGGGCTTACTACTTACTACATGATTTATATGTGGTGTACATATAAATCATGTGAAGCGTCTCATCATCCTACGCGTCTAATCAACTATGGTAATTACCGTAAGAACTACGTCGTAAATACTAAGCTGAACAGGCGGTTCGGATTGGATCGGTCACGGTTACCAATACTGGTAGAAAACCGATGACCGTCAACAAAGATGGAAGACGAAGACGTTGCAATTTGTCTGCTACTCAGTCTTCCGAAGAGCTACGAAAATGTGGTGCTCAACATGGAAATGAGCAGCACCGAGCTTCGCACTCAAGATGTGGTGAGAGTCCTGACGAATGAGCATGCCAAGCGTCAAGGAGAAAAAGGGACAACGACAGCGACTACGGTGAAGGCTGAAGATGCAAGCAAGGCATTCAGCGCCGAGCGTGAGCCCTACCAATGCACGTATTGTGGCAAGGTGGGACACACGGTGGATCGTTGCTGGACAAAGCAGAAGAACGAAGGTCGGGGAGCCCGACGCGGCGGCAATGGTCGTGGACGCGGGGCTAACAATGTCCAGTGGGGACATCATGATGAAGGCAATGGCTACGATCGAGTGGCGTTTGCAGTCTCGTTCGAATGTGGAGTTTCGACGAGCAAGGACGTGTCTGGAATGTGGGCCGTCGACAGTGGTGCAACGCACCACATTTGCCACGACAAGACCAAGTTTGCAAGTTTGGCAGAGCGCAATGAGGGCGAACTCTTGGTGGCTGATGGCAACAAGGTGGCCATCAAGGGTGTGGGAACCATCATGGAAAAGGTGGTTCTGCCCAACGGTGAAGAGCGTGAGATCGAAATCAAGAACGCGCTATATGTTCCAAGTATGAGCAAGAACCTGCTCTCGGTGCCACAGATTAACAGCCATGGCAAGTTTCAAGTCGTGTTTGACGGGTCCAAGATGTATGTGACTCTCAAGAACTCACAGCAAGTGGTGGCGACAGCGGATCTCGTGGATGGACTCTACTGGCTTCGGACGACTCAACGATCAGCGAATATGACAACAAGTGGAACCAGTTGTGCCGATCTACATGCGAGAATGGGTCATGCTCCAGTCGATGTACTTCGCAAGATGATCGCGACCAACATGATCAAGGATGTGCGAGTCCCTCTCAAGTCGGGTGGAGCAACTACATGTCGAGGATGTCAACAAGGGAAAATGGTCCAAAAACCATTTCCAAGCAACCGAGACAAGCGCAGCTACTATACGTTTGAGCTACTTCATCTGGACATCTGCGGGCCCATGGAAAAGGATTCGCTCGGTGGCAGCAAATATTTGCTACTGATCATCGACGAAGCCAGTGGATGCATGAAGGGCTTTTGTCTACGAGTGAAGTCCGAGAGTGAAGACTACATCCGGAAATATATCACCATGGTACAGACGCAATTCTGTAAGAAGGTCAAGTTCGTGCGACACGACGGAGCTCGCGAGTTTGCAACCAACTCGCTTCAACTGTTCTACGAAGACGAAGGCATTGAACAGCAGACAACGGTGCCGTATGCACATCAAACAAACGGAACAGCAGAGCGTGCCATTAGGACTATTGTCACGATCGGCCGCAGCATGCTTCATCATGCCAAACTGGACAAGTGTTTCTGGGCCGAAGCAGCGATGACGGCCATCTACGTCAAGAATCGACTGCCGTCACCTAAAGTCGTGCACAAGACCCCCGTTTGAGATCGTCTACAACTTGAAACCAAGCGTCAAGCACATGCGAACATTTGGGTGTCAGACATACATACTGACGCCTAAAGAGAATCGACTCAAGTGGGATCCAAAGGCTCGCGCTGGCATATTCGTGGTCTACGAAGAAGTTTCGAAGGCATATCGTGTTTATGACATCGAGGCGGGGCAGGTGGTTATCAGCCGCGATGTCAACTTCGACGAGTCCACCTTTGGACTTCAACTGCCGATCACTGATGAAGATGTCGATGACCTGGACTTCGAATTGCTGGATCTTGATGACGAAGAGCTGCGTCAAATGGAGTACAAGCAAACAGGCAAGCGCAAGAACCGACTCAATGATGAAGATACAGCAGCTCCACGACCGCGTGCAGTGCGTCAACGACCAGGACTAGAAGAGTCAAGCGCGCCGGAAAACAACTCGTCACGACAAGAAGAAGACGAAGAAACGAAGGATTCTGATGATTCAACACCGCCTGTGTTTTGGCGTGCGAGTGCAAATGCCGTTGAAGCAGCAGTGGACTTATCAGAACCCTCAACATTTGAAGCAGCAGTAAGCGGCCCTGACCAAGTGCACTGGAGAAAAGCAATTCATGCAGAGCTCGATTCGATGAAGCTTCGCGGTGTCTTTCGTGCGGCCAAGTTACCCAACGGACAACGCGCCATTGGCACAAAATGGGTGTTCAAGATCAAGCGCAAGGCGGATGGGTCAATCGAGAAGTACAAGGCACGACTTGTGGCCAAGGGTTTCCGCCAAAAGTATGGCATCGACTACACGGAGACGTTTTCGCCTGTGGTCAAGTACGTGACGCTGCGAATGGTGGTTGCAATCACGAAGTACTTTGACTGGACACTGGACCAACTGGACGTGGTGACAGCTTTCCTATACGGAGAAATGAAGAGCAGGTATTCTGCGCGATTCCTGAAGGCGTCGAACTTGACAGTACGTACGACTGCCTGGAATTGGTGGAGTCAATTTACGGCCTCAAGCAAGCGTCGCGAGTGTGGAACGAGACGTTCGACGAGTATGTGTGCTCCATCGGATTTCAAGTATCGGACTTCGACCCATGTCTCTACATCAAGACTTCGGACGGCCATTGCGTGTTTATACTGGTCTACGTGGACGACGTCTTGGTGACTGGAAGCTCACTCGAGCTGATTGCACAAACCAAGAACGACCTGAAGACGCGGTTCGAAATGACGGACAGCGGCAAGTGTGCATTTGTTCTTGGGATCGAGCTTTTGGACGGTGAAGATGGCAGTGTGACACTATGTCAGCGTCGGTATGTCGATGATATCCTCAAGCGCTTTGGCATGGATGATTGCAAGGCAGTCGCAAGTCCAGTCGACATGAGCTCTCGACTTGTTTCAAGTGATGCAACTACCAAGGTCGATGCTCCTTTTCGCGAAGCTGTTGGTGCGTTGATGCACCTGACCACTGCAACGCGTCCGGACATTGCGTTTGCTGTGGGCTATGTGTCGCGGTTCATGGAAAATCCCCAAGAAGAACACTGGGTTGCAGTTAAGCGTATCTTTCGCTACCTACAAGGCACCAAGACGCATGGAATTTGCTACAAGCCAAGTGCAAGGATCGACTTCCGTGGATATTCGGATGCGGATTGGGCTGGTGATCTTACCGACCGCAAGTCAACATCGGGGTACACGTTCATGCTACTCGGTGCGCCAGTCAGTTGGGGCAGCAAGAAGCAGCCAAGTGTTTCGTTGTCCACGAGTGAAGCCGAATACATCGCACTCAGCTTGGCGATTCAAGAGGGCAAGTGGATTCATCGTCTGCTTTGTGAGATCGTGATGGCTGCCAATGAAGAAGGACCGGAACTCATGATCCATGAAGACAATCAGTCGTGTATCAAGATGACGAAGAACCCAGTCAACCACGGCCGTGCCAAGCACATTGATATCAAGTACCATCACATCCGTGATGAGGTCAAGCGCGGTGAAGTGAAGCTCAAGTACTGTGAAACTGCGGTGATGTTAGCGGACATCATGACGAAGGGACTTCACGGGCCACGCCACAAGGAGATGACGGCGACTCTCGGGATTCGTGAGCATTCGGATTGAGGGGGCGTGTTGACGGTCATCGGTTTTCTACCAGTATTGGTAACCGTGACCGATCCAATCCGAACCGCCTGTTCAGCTTAGTATTTACGACGTAGTTCTTACGGTAATTACCATAGTTGATTAGACGCGTAGGATGATGAGACGCTTCACATGATTTATATGTACACCACATATAAATCATGTAGTAAGTAGTAAGCCCCGATAATCAATCACTTTCGAATCTTCCAACTATTGGGCAAGTGTTTTCTGCTCTACTCTCTTCGGTCTCTCCGCTCCGTTTGCTCCGCTTTCCTCGCTCCGATCTACAATGCAACAGTGTTGAAAAACTAGAATCCTTCGTTTCTTCGTCTTCTTCTTGGCGTGACGAGTTGTTTTCCGGCGCGCTTGACTCTTCTAGTCCTGGTCGTTGAAGCACTGCACGCGGTCGTGGAGCTGCTGTATCTTCATCATTGAGTCGGTTCTTGCGCTTGCCTGTTTGCTTGTACTCCATTTGACGCAGCTCTTCGTCATCAAGATCCAGCAATTCAAAGTCCAGGTCATCGACATCTTCATCAGTGATCGGCAGTTGAAGTCCAAAGCTGGACTCTTCGAAGTTGACATCGCGGCTGATAACCACCTGCCCCGCCTCGATGTCATAAACACGATATGTGTTGTAACTTGAGCGCGAGGCGAAGAGAAAACGAAGCGGAGAGACCGGAGAGAACGAAGCAGAGAACACTTGCTCACTTGAGGTAGGATTCGAAAGTGATTGATTTATAGGTCTTAACTTCTGCCTACCCTAGACTGCATCCAATCACATGGTGCATCTAATCAACCTGATTTACACGCGTCCAATCATCCTACGCGTCTAATCATCTCTGAGGTAATTACCGATGTAAAAACTATCTCGTAAGAACTACGCGCTAGGTTCGGATTGTACCGGTAACCCTCAATAATATGCCTTCGAAACTTCTTCGTAGACCACGAATATGCCAGCGCGAGCCTTTGGATCCCACTTGAGTCGATTCTCTTTAGGCGTCAGTATGTATGTCTGACACCCGAATGTTCGCATGTGCTTGACGCTTGGTTTCAAGTTGTAGACGACCTCAAACGGGGTCTTGTGCACGACTTTAGGTGACGGCAGTCAATTCTTGACGTAGATGGCCGTCATCGCTGCTTCGGCCCAGAAACACTTGTCCAGTTTGGCATGATGAAGCATGCTGCGGCCGATCGTGACAATAGTCCTAATGGCACGCTCTGCTGTTCTGTTTGTTTGATGTGCATACGGCACCGTTGTCTGCTGTTCAATGCCTTCGTCTTCGTAGAACAGTTGAAGCGAGTTGGTTGCAAACTCGCGAGCTCCGTCGTGTCGCACGAACTTGACCTTCTTACAGAATTGCGTCTGTACCATGGTGATATATTTCCGGATGTAGTCTTCACTCTCGGACTTCACTCGTAGACAAAAGCCCTTCATGCATCCACTGGCTTCGTCGATGATCAGCAGCAAATATTTGCTGCCACCGAGCGAATCCTTTTCCATGGGCCCGCAGATGTCCAGATGAAGTAGCTCAAACGTATCATAGCTGCGCTTGTCTCGGTTGCTTGGAAATGGTTTTTGGACCATTTTCCCTTGTTGACATCCTCGACATGTAGTTGCTCCACCCGACTTGAGAGGGACTCGCACATCCTTGATCATGTTGGTCGCGATCATCTTGCGAAGTACATCGACTGGAGCATGACCCATTCTCGCATGTAGATCGGCACAACTGGTTCCACTTGTTGTCACATTCGCTGATCGTTGAGTCGTCCGAAGCCAGTAGAGTCCATCCACGAGATCCGCTGTCGCCACCACTTGCTGTGAGTTCTTGAGAGTCACATACATCTTGGACCCGTCAAACACGACTTGAAACTTGCCATGGCTGTTAATCTGTGGCACCGAGAGCAGGTTCTTGCTCATACTTGGAACATATAGCGCGTTCTTGATTTCGATCTCACGCTCTTCACCGTTGGGCAGAACCACCTTTTCCATGATGGTTCCCACACCCTTGATGGCCACCTTGTTGCCATCAGCCACCAAGAGTTCGCCCTCATTGCGCTCTGCCAAACTTGCGAACTTGGTTTTGTCGTGGCAAATGTGGTGCGTTGCACCACTGTCGACGGCCCACATTCCAGACACGTCCTTGCTCGTCGAAACTCCACATTCGAACGAGACTGCAAACGCCACTCGATCGTAGCCATTGCCTTCATCATGATGTCCCCACTGGACATTGTTAGCCCCGCGTCCACGACCATTGCCGCCGCGTCGGGCTCCCCGACCTTCGTTCTTCTGCTTTGTCCAGCAACGATCCACCGTGTGTCCCACCTTGCCACAATACGTGCATTGGTAGGGCTCACGCTCGGCGCTGAATGCCTTGCTTGCATCTTCAGCCTTCACCGTAGTCGCTGTCGTTGTCCCTTTTTCTCCTTGACGCTTGGCATGCTCATTCGCCAGGACTCTCACCACATCTTGAGTGCGAAGCTCGGTGCTGCTCATTTCCATGTTGAGCACCACATTTTCGTAGCTCTTCGGAAGACTGAGTAGCAGACAAATTGCAACGTCTTCGTCTTCCATCTTCGCACCGATGCCGCTAAGCTTGGCGGAGATGTTGAGGACCTCGTTGCAGTGATGCATGACGTTCGCGCCTTCAGCCATCTTGATACTGAAAAGTTGTCGCTTGAGGTAGATGCGTCCTGCCTTCTGCGACCCACCGTACAGCGTCTTCAGACTTGTCCACGCAACCCAGGCTTCCTCGCAGTTGTCCAGCACATGATGGTAGTCCGCGTTCATGTGCAGCAGCATCATACCAAACGCGACGTTGCTTGCCTTGACGTAGTCATCGGACGCTCGCGGGTCGGTGAAAGTCGGAGTCACTTCACGGTTGACAACGTGCCAGACGGACTTCGTCAAAAACACACCGCGCATGTACCGGCTCCACGTTGCGTAATTGTCTCCGTTGAACTTGTCAATGGAGGCGTTGCTGGTGGACGACATGGCGCTTGGGCTCATAACCTGTTGCATTGTAGATCGGAGCGAGGAAAGCGGAGCGAACGGAGCGGAGAGACCGAAGAGAGTAGAGCAGAAAACACTTGCCCAATAGTTGGAAGATTCGAAAGTGATTGATTATCGGGACTTACTACTTACTACATGATTTATATGTGGTGTACATATAAATCATGTGAAGCGTCTCATCATCCTACGCGTCTAATCAACTATGGTAATTACCGTAAGAACTACGTCGTAAATACTAAGCTGAACAGGCGGTTCGGATTGGATCGGTCACGGTTACCAATACTGGTAGAAAACCGATGACCGTCAACACGCCCCCTCAATCCGAATGCTCACGAATCCCGAGAGTCGCCGTCATCTCCTTGTGGCGTGGCCCGTGAAGTCCCTTCGTCATGATGTCCGCTAACATCACCGCAGTTTCACAGTACTTGAGCTTCACTTCACCGCGCTTGACCTCATCACGGATGTGATGGTACTTGATATCAAAATGTGCTTGGCACGGCCGTGGTTGACTGGGTTCTTCGTCATCTTGATACACGACTGATTGTCTTCATGGATCATGAGTTCCGGTCCTTCTTCATTGGCAGCCATCACGATCTCACAAAGCAGACGATGAATCCACTTGCCCTCTTGAATCGCCAAGCTGAGTGCGATGTATTCGGCTTCACTCGTGGACAACGAAACACTTGGCTGCTTCTTGCTGCCCCAACTGACTGGCGCACCGAGTAGCATGAACGTGTACCCCGATGTTGACTTGCGGTCGGTAAGATCACCAGCCCAATCCGCATCCGAATATCCACGGAAGTCGATCCTTGCACTTGGCTTGTAGCAAATTCCATGCGTCTTGGTGCCTTGTAGGTAGCGAAAGATACGCTTAACTGCAACCCAGTGTTCTTCTTGGGGATTTTCCATGAACCGCGACACATAGCCCACAGCAAACGCAATGTCCGGACGCGTTGCAGTGGTCAGGTGCATCAACGCACCAACAGCTTCGCGAAAAGGAGCATCGACCTTGGTAGTTGCATCACTTGAAACAAGTCGAGAGCTCATGTCGACTGGACTTGCGACTGCCTTGCAATCATCCATGCCAAAGCGCTTGAGGATATCATCGACATACCGACGCTGACATAGTGTCACACTGCCATCTTCACCGTCCAAAAGCTCGATCCCAAGAACAAACGCACACTTGCCGCTGTCCGTCATTTCGAACCGCGTCTTCAGGTCGTTCTTGGTTTGTGCAATCAGCTCGAGCGAGCTTCCAGTCACCAAGACGTCGTCCACGTAGACCAGTATAAACACGCAATGGCCGTCCGAAGTCTTGATGTAGAGACATGGGTCGAAGTCCGATACTTGAAATCCGATGGAGCACACATACTCGTCGAACGTCTCGTTCCACACTCGCGACGCTTGCTTGAGGCCGTAAATTGACTTCACCAATTCCAGGCAGTCGAACGTACTGTCAAGTTCGACGCCTTCAGGAATCACGCAGAACACTTGTTCCTTCATGACGCCATACAGGAAAGCTGTCACCACATCAAGCTGGTCGATGGGCCATCCAAAATGCTTGGAAATTGCGATCACCATTCGCAGCGTCACATACTTGACCACAGGCGAAAACGTCTCCGTGTAGTCGATGCCATACTTTTGGCGGAAACCCTTGGCCACAAGTCGTGCCTTGTACTTCTCGATAGATCCATCCGCCTTGCGCTTGATCTTGAACACCCATTTTGTGCCAATGGCGCGTTGTCCGTTGGGCAGCTTGGCTGCACGAAACACACCGCGAAGTCGCATTGACTCGAGCTCTGCATGAATTGCTTTTCTCCAGTGCACTTGGTCAGGGCCGCTTACTGCTGCTTCAAATGTTGAGGGTTCTGATAAGTCCACTGCTGCTTCAACGGCATTTGCACTCGCACGCCAAAACACAGGCGGTGTTGAATCACCAGAATCCTTCGTTTCTTCGTCTTCTTCTTGTCGTGACGAGTTGTTTTCCGGCGCGCTTGACTCTTCTAGTCCTGGTCGTTGACGCACTGCACGCGGTCGTGGAGCTGCTGTATCTTCATCATTGAGTCGGTTCTTGCGCTTGCCTGTTTGCTTGTACTCCATTTGACGCAGCTCTTCGTCATCAAGATCCAGCAATTCGAAGTCCAGGTCATCGACATCTTCATCAGTGATCGGCAGTTGAAGTCCAAAGGTGGACTCGTCGAAGTTGACATCGCGGCTGATAACCACCTGCCCCGCCTCGATGTCATAAACACGATATGCCTTCGAAACTTCTTCGTAGACCACGAATATGCCAGCGCGAGCCTTTGGATCCCACTTGAGTCGATTCTCTTTAGGCGTCAGTATGTATGTCTGACACCCGAATGTTCGCATGTGCTTGACGCTTGGTTTCAAGTTGTAGACGATCTCAAACGGGGTCTTGTGCACGACTTTAGGTGACGGCAGTCGATTCTTGACGTAGATGGCCGTCATTGCTGCTTCGGCCCAGAAACACTTGTCCAGTTTGGCATGATGAAGCATGCTGCGGCCGATCGTGACAATAGTCCTAATGGCACGCTCTGCTGTTCCGTTTGTTTGATGTGCATACGGCACCGTTGTCTGCTGTTCAATGCCTTCGTCTTCGTAGAACAGTTGAAGCGAGTTGGTTGCAAACTCGCGAGCTCCGTCGTGTCGCACGAACTTGACCTTCTTACAGAATTGCGTCTGTACCATGGTGATATATTTCCGGATGTAGTCTTCACTCTCGGACTTCACTCGTAGACAAAAGCCCTTCATGCATCCACTGGCTTCGTCGATGATCAGCAGCAAATATTTGCTGCCACCGAGCGAATCCTTTTCCATGGGCCCGCAGATGTCCAGATGAAGTAGCTCAAACGTATCGTAGCTGCGCTTGTCTCGGTTGCTTGGAAATGGTTTTTGGACCATTTTCCCTTGTTGACATCCTCGACATGTAGTTGCTCCACCCGACTTGAGAGGGACTCGCACATCCTTGATCATGTTGGTCGCGATCATCTTGCGAAGTACATCGACTGGAGCATGACCCATTCTCGCATGTAGATCGGCACAACTGGTTCCACTTGTTGTCACATTCGCTGATCGTTGAGTCGTCCGAAGCCAGTAGAGTCCATCCACGAGATCCGCTGTCGCCACCACTTGCTGTGAGTTCTTGAGAGTCACATACATCTTGGACCCGTCAAACACGACTTGAAACTTGCCATGGCTGTTAATCTGTGGTACCGAGAGCAGGTTCTTGCTCATACTTGGAACATATAGCGCGTTCTTGATTTCGATCTCACGCTCTTCACCGTTGGGCAGAACCACCTTTTCCATGATGGTTCCCACACCCTTGATGGCCACCTTGTTGCCATCAGCCACCAAGAGTTCGCCCTCATTGCGCTCTGCCAAACTTGCGACCTTGGTTTTGTCGTGGCAAATGTGGTGCGTTGCACCACTGTCGACGGCCCACATTCCAGACACGTCCTTGCTCGTCGAAACTCCACATTCGAACGAGACTGCAAACGCCACTCGATCGTAGCCATTGCCTTCATCATGATGTCCCCACTGGACATTGTTAGCCCCGCGTCCACGACCATTGCCGCCGCGTCGGGCTCCCCGACCTTCGTTCTTCTGCTTTGTCCAGCAACGATCCACCGTGTGTCCCACCTTACCACAATACGTGCATTGGTAGGGCTCACGCTCGGCGCTGAATGCCTTGCTTGCATCTTCAGCCTTCACCGTAGTCGCTGTCGTTGTCCCTTTTTCTCCTTGACGCTTGGCATGCTCATTCGTCAGGACTCTCACCACATCTTGAGTGCGAAGCTCGGTGCTGCTCATTTCCATGTTGAGCACCACATTTTCGTAGCTCTTCGGAAGACTGAGTAGCAGACAAATTGCAACGTCTTCGTCTTCCATCTTCGCACCGATGCCGCTAAGCTTGGCGGAGATGTTGAGGACCTCGTTGCAGTGATGCATGACGTTCGCGCCTTCAGCCATCTTGATACTGAAAAGTTGTCGCTTGAGGTAGATGCGTCCTGCCTTCTGCGGCCCACCGTACAGCGTCTTCAGACTTGTCCACGCAACCCAGGCTTCCTCGCAGTTGTCCAGCACATGATGGTAGTCCGCGTTCATGTGCAGCAGCATCATACCAAACGCGACGTTGCTTGCCTTGACGTAGTCATCGGACGCTCGCGGGTCGGTGAAAGTCGGAGTCACTTCACGGTTGACGACGTGCCAGACGGACTTCGTCAAAAACACACCGCGCATGTACCGGCTCCACGTTGCGTAATTGTCTCCGTTGAACTTGTCAATGGAGGCGTTGCTGGTGGACGACATGGCGCTTGGGCTCATAACCTGTTGCAATGTAGATCGGAGCGAGGAAAGCGGAGCAAACGGAGCGGAGAGACCGAAGAGAGTAGAGCAGAAAACACTTGCCCAATAGTTGGAAGATTCGAAAGTGATTGATTATCGGGACTTACTACTTACTACATGATTTATATGTGGTGTACATATAAATCATGTGAAGCGTCTCATCATCCTACGCGTCTAATCAACTATGGTAATTACCGTAAGAACTACGTCGTAAATACTAAGCTGAACAGGCGGTTCGGATTGGATCGGTCACGGTTACCAATACTGGTAGAAAACCGATGACCGTCAACACGCCCCCTCAATCCGAATGCTCACGAATCCCGAGAGTCGCCGTCATCTCCTTGTGGCGTGGCCCGTGAAGTCCCTTCGTCATGATGTCCGCTAACATCACCGCAGTTTCACAGTACTTGAGCTTCACTTCACCGCGCTTGACCTCATCACGGATGTGATGGTACTTGATATCAATGTGCTTGGCACGGCCGTGGTTGACTGGGTTCTTCGTCATCTTGATACACGACTGATTGTCTTCATGGATCATGAGTTCCGGTCCTTCTTCATTGGCAGCCATCACGATCTCACAAAGCAGACGATGAATCCACTTGCCCTCTTGAATCGCCAAGCTGAGTGCGATGTATTCGGCTTCACTCGTGGACAACGAAACACTTGGCTGCTTCTTGCTGCCCCAACTGACTGGCGCACCGAGTAGCATGAACGTGTACCCCGATGTTGACTTGCGGTCGGTAAGATCACCAGCCCAATCCGCATCCGAATATCCACGGAAGTCGATCCTTGCACTTGGCTTGTAGCAAATTCCATGCGTCTTGGTGCCTTGTAGGTAGCGAAAGATACGCTTAACTGCAACCCAGTGTTCTTCTTGGGGATTTTCCATGAACCGCGACACATAGCCCACAGCAAACGCAATGTCCGGACGCGTTGCAGTGGTCAGGTGCATCAACGCACCAACAGCTTCGAGAAAAGGAGCATCGACCTTGGTAGTTGCATCACTTGAAACAAGTCGAGAGCTCATGTCGACTGGACTTGCGACTGCCTTGCAATCATCCATGCCAAAGCGCTTGAGGATATCATCGACATACCGACGCTGACATAGTGTCACACTGCCATCTTCACCGTCCAAAAGCTCGATCCCAAGAACAAACGCACACTTGCCGCTGTCCGTCATTTCGAACCGCGTCTTCAGGTCGTTCTTGGTTTGTGCAATCAGCTCGAGCGAGCTTCCAGTCACCAAGACGTCGTCCACGTAGACCAGTATAAACACGCAATGGCCGTCCGAAGTCTTGATGTAGAGACATGGGTCGAAGTCCGATACTTGAAATCCGATGGAGCACACATACTCGTCGAACGTCTCGTTCCACACTCGCGACGCTTGCTTGAGGCCGTAAATTGACTTCACCAATTCCAGGCAGTCGTACGTACTGTCAAGTTCGACGCCTTCAGGAATCGCGCAGAATACCTGCTCTTCATTTCTCCGTATAGGAAAGCTGTCACCACGTCCAGTTGGTCCAGTGTCCAGTCAAAGTACTTCGTGATTGCAACCACCATTCGCAGCGTCACGTACTTGACCACAGGCGAAAACGTCTCCGTGTAGTCGATGCCATACTTTTGGCGGAAACCCTTGGCCACAAGTCGTGCCTTGTACTTCTCGATTGACCCATCCGCCTTGCGCTTGATCTTGAACACCCATTTTGTGCCAATGGCGCGTTGTCCGTTGGGTAACTTGGCCGCACGAAAGACACCGCGAAGCTTCATCGAATCGAGCTCTGCATGAATTGCTTTTCTCCAGTGCACTTGGTCAGGGCCGCTTACTGCTGCTTCAAATGTTGAGGGTTCTGATAAGTCCACTGCTGCTTCAACGGCATTTGCACTCGCACGCCAAAACACAGGCGGTGTTGAATCATCAGAATCCTTCGTTTCTTCGTCTTCTTCTTGTCGTGACGAGTTGTTTTCCGGCGCGCTTGACTCTTCTAGTCCTGGTCGTTGACGCACTGCACGCGGTCGTGGAGCTGCTGTATCTTCATCATTGAGTCGGTTCTTGCGCTTGCCTGTTTGCTTGTACTCCATTTGACGCAGCTCTTCGTCATCAAGATCCAGCAATTCGAAGTCCAGGTCATCGACATCTTCATCAGTGATCGGCAGTTGAAGTCCAAAGGTGGACTCGTCGAAGTTGACATCGCGGCTGATAACCACCTGCCCCGCCTCGATGTCATAAACACGATATGCCTTCGAAACTTCTTCGTAGACCACGAATATGCCAGCGCGAGCCTTTGGATCCCACTTGAGTCGATTCTCTTTAGGCGTCAGTATGTATGTCTGACACCCAAATGTTCGCATGTGCTTGACGCTTGGTTTCAAGTTGTAGACGATCTCAAACGGGGTCTTGTGCACGACTTTAGGTGACGGCAGTCGATTCTTGACGTAGATGGCCGTCATCGCTGCTTCGGCCCAGAAACACTTGTCCAGTTTGGCATGATGAAGCATGCTGCGGCCGATCGTGACAATAGTCCTAATGGCACGCTCTGCTGTTCCGTTTGTTTGATGTGCATACGGCACCGTTGTCTGCTGTTCAATGCCTTCGTCTTCGTAGAACAGTTGAAGCGAGTTGGTTGCAAACTCGCGAGCTCTGTCGTGTCGCACGAACTTGACCTTCTTACAGAATTGCGTCTGTACCATGGTGATATATTTCCGGATGTAGTCTTCACTCTCGGACTTCACTCGTAGACAAAAGCCCTTCATGCATCCACTGGCTTCGTCGATGATCAGTAGCAAATATTTGCTGCCACCGAGCGAATCCTTTTCCATGGGCCCGCAGATGTCCAGATGAAGTAGCTCAAACGTATCGTAGCTGCGCTTGTCTCGGTTGCTTGGAAATGGTTTTTGGACCATTTTCCCTTGTTGATGTTGTGAGTGCATGATGCACTGGATTCGACTCCAGAGATTCGACCCATGATAGGGTATGTCTAGAATGTTCTTTAGGGTTCTATGCATTATTATAGGTCGTACGGCAGCTAGACGTATGGATAGTTCTCACTTGTAGATTGACAAACCACTGATGAGGCCCCCGGCGGGGGGGCCGAAACGCGTCTGGTGCGCGGTAATATACAAGTCATTTACTTTACTTAACTCCTACTTCTTACAGGTTATGAGCCCAAGTGCTCGCTATAGACACCTCACCAAGGACCAACTTGTGCGAGGGACACCCCGTCAGAGAAGGCGCTCGATGCACGAGTAAGGCGCCGAAGAATTCATCGACAGGGATCGTTGACGGTGCGCGTGCAGTCGAAAAGGGTTTGTGCAAGGGTGGTGACGCGAGATGGTCTGAATGCGCGAGTGCTATCGAAGGAAGAGTCAAGTCAAGTGGTGACAAGTGTATTTGTGGTCAAGAAGAAGTGGAAACTACATGCAAGGCGAACGACGACTACGAGATGTCAAGATGTGACATGGTGCTGGACGATGGGGGAGCTGGAATACCTGGAACGCTCGGTATCATCGAGGTTGGCTGGAGCGCAGGGGCAAGACTCAATCAAGATTCCCATGGTGCACGGATGCAGCAGTGAGGATTACAGGCGGGTCGATACCAAAGTGGTCTGCATCTCATGTCGTCGAGGGGGAGTGTTGTAAGTGCATGATGCACTGGATTCGACTCCAGAGATTCGACCCATGATAGGGTATGTCTAGAATGTTCTTTAGGGTTCTATGCATTATTATAGGTCGTACGGCAGCTAGACGTATGAATAGTTCTCACTTGTAGATTGACAAACCACTGATGAGGCCCCCCGGCGGGGGGCCGAAACGCGTCTGGTGCGCGGTAATATACAAGTCATTTACTTTACTTAACTCCTACTTCTTACAGGTTATGAGCCCAAGTGCTCGCTATAGACACCTCACCAAGGACCAACTTGTGCGAGGGACACCCCGTCAGAGAAGGCGCTCGATGCACGAGTAAGGCGCCGAAGAATTCATCGACAGGGATCGTTGACGGTGCGCGTGCAGTCGAAAAGGGTTTGTGCAAGGGTGGTGACGCGAGATGGTCTGAATGCGCGAGTGCTATCGAAGGAAGAGTCAAGTCAAGTGGTGACAAGTGTATTTGTGGTCAAGAAGAAGTGGAAACTACATGCAAGGCGAACGACGACTACGAGATGTCAAGATGTGACATGGTGCTGGACGATGGGGGAGCTGGAATACCTGGAACGCTCGGTATCATCGAGGTTGGCTGGAGCGCAGGGGCAAGACTCAATCAAGATTCCCATGGTGCACGGATGCAGCAGTGAGGATTACAGGCGGGTCGATACCAAAGTGGTCTGCATCTCATGTCGTCGAGGGGGAGTGTTGTAAGTGCATGATGCACTGGATTCGACTCCAGAGATTCGACCCATGATAGGGTATGTCTAGAATGTTCTTTAGGGTTCTATGCATTATTATAGGTCGTACGGCAGCTAGACGTATGGATAGTTTTCACTTGTAGATTGACAAACCACTGATGAGGCCCCCCGGCGGGGGCCGAAACGCGTCTGGTGCGCGGTAATATACAAGTCATTTACTTTACTTAACTCCTACTTCTTACAGTTGACATCCTCGACATGTAGTTGCTCCACCCGACTTGAGAGGGACTCGCACATCCTTGATCATGTTGGTCGCGGTCATCTTGCGAAGTACATCGACTGGAGCATGACCCATTCTCGCATGTAGATCGGCACAACTGGTTCCACTTGTTGTCACATTCGCTGATCGTTGAGTCGTCCGAAGCCAGTAGAGTCCATCCACGAGATCCGCTGTCGCCACCACTTGCTGTGAGTTCTTGAGAGTCACATACATCTTGGACCCGTCAAACACGACTTGAAACTTGCCATGACTGTTAATCTGTGGCACCGAGAGCAGGTTCTTGCTCATACTTGGAACATATAGCGCGTTCTTGATTTCGATCTCACGCTCTTCACCGTTGGGCAGAACCACCTTTTCCATTATGGTTCCCACACCCTTGATGGCCACCTTGTTGCCATCAGCCACCAAGAGTTCGCCCTCATTGCGCTCTGCCAAACTTGCGAACTTGGTCTTGTCGTGGCAAATGTGGTGCGTTGCACCACTGTCGACGGCCCACATTCCAGACACGTCCTTGCTCGTCGAAACTCCACATTCGAACGAGACTGCAAACGCCACTCGATCGTAGCCATTGCCTTCATCATGATGTCCCCACTGGACATTGTTAGCCCCGCGTCCACGACCATTGCCGCCGCGTCGGGCTCCCCGACCTTCGTTCTTCTGCTTTGTCCAGCAACGATCCACCGTGTGTCCCACCTTGCCACAATACGTGCATTGGTAGGGCTCACGCTCGGCGCTGAATGCCTTGCTTGCATCTTCAGCCTTCACCGTAGTCGCTGTCGTTGTCCCTTTTTCTCCTTGACGCTTGGCATGCTCATTCGTCAGGACTATGTTGCAATTTGAGCGCGAGGCGAAGAGAAAACGAAGCGGAGAGACCGGAGAGAACGAAGCAGAGAACACTTGCTCACTTGAGGGAGGATTCGAAAGTGATTGATTTATAGGTCTTAGCTTCTGCCTACCCTAGACTGCATCCAATCACATGGTGCATCTAATCAACCTGATTTACACGCGTCCAATCATCCTACGCGTCTAATCATCTCTGAGGTAATTACCGATGTAAAAACTATCTCGTAAGAACTACGCGCTAGGTTCGGATTGTACCGGTAACCCTCAATACGCCCCCTCAATCCGAACACGCACGGATGCCAAGCGCCGCCGTCAAGTCCTTGTGACGCGGTCCGTGAAGTCCCTTCGTCATGATGTCCGCCAACATCAACGTTGTCTCGCAGTATTCAAGCTTCACTTCGCCGCGCTTGACTTCATCACGGATGTGATGGTACTTGATGTCGATGTGTTTAGCGCGGCCGTGGTTGACCGGATTCTTCGTCATCTTGATGCACGACTGGTTGTCTTCACGGATGACGAGCTCGGGTCCTTCTTCGTTTGCAGCCGCCATGATCTCGCACAGCAAGCGATTGATCCACTTGCCTTTTTGGATCGCCAGGCTGAGCGCGATGTACTCCGCTTCGCTTGTAGACAGTGACACACTTGGCTGTTTCTTGCTGCCCCAACTCACCGGAGCACCCAATAGCATGAAGACGTAGCCGGACGTCGATTTGCGATCAGCAAGGTCACCGGCCCAGTCTGCATCTGAATAGCCACGAAAGGCGATCTTCGCACTTGGCTTGTAGCAGATTCCATGCATCTTGGTGCCTTGTAGGTAGCGGAAGATGCGCTTGACTGCAACCCAGTGTTCTTCTTGGGGTTTCTCCATGAACCGTGACACAAAGCTTACAGCATAGGCGATGTCCGGTCGCGTTGCAGTCGTCAGATGCATCAAAGCACCCACTGCTTCACGGAATGGGACATCCACCTTGCTTGCAGAGTTGCTTGGAACCAGTCGAGAGCTGACGTCCACCGGACTTGCCACAGCCTTGCACTCATCCATTCCAAAGCGCTTGAGGACATCGTCGACATAACGGCGCTGACACATAGTCACGCTGCCATCTTCACCGTCCAATAACTCGATCCCAAGAACAAAGGCACACTTGCCGCTGTCCGTCATCTCGAAGCGTGTCTTGAGGTCGTTCTTGGTGCGCGCAATCATCTCGAGCGAGCTTTCAGTCACCAAGACATCGTCCACGTAGACCAGCACAAAAACACAATGGCCTTCCGAAGTCATGATGTAGAGACATGGATCGAATCCTGACGCTTGAAAACCAATCGAGCGTATGAACTCGTCGAAGGTCTCGTTCCAAACACGCGAGGCTTGCTTGAGACCGTAGATCGCCTTGATCAGCTCGAGACAGTCGAAATCACCTTCCATCTTGACGCCTTCCGGAACAGCGCAGAACACCTTCTCCTTCATCACTCCATACAGGAACGCAGTCACCACATCGAGCTGGTCGAGGGGCCATCCAAAGTGCTTGGTAATGGCGATGATCATTCGCAGCGTCACATACTTGACCACGGGTGAGAACGTCTCCGTGTAGTCGATGCCATACTTTTGGCGGAAACCCTTGGCCACAAGTCGTGCCTTGTATTTCTCGATCGACCCATCCGCCTTGCGCTTGATCTTGAAGACCCACTTTGTGCCAATGGCGCTTTGTCCTTTGGGTAACTTGGCCGCACGAAAGACACCGCGAAGCTTCATCGAATCGAGCTCCGCATCAATTGCCTTGCGCCAGTGTACTTGGTCCGGGCCAGACACTGCTTCTTCAAATGTCGACGGCTCCGAAAAATCGACCGCTGCTTCGACGGCGTTTGCACTCGCATGCCAAAACGCGGAGGAAGTCGGTGTGTCATGTTGTTCCTCCGACTTCCTTTCTTCATCTTCGTTGGCTCGACGTGAAGAGAGGTCATCCGGCGCACTTGACTCTTCCAATCCGGGTCGTTGGCGCACTGCTCGGGGCATGCTTGCGTCGTCATTGTCGTGACTGGGTTGGGCCTTGCGCTTTCCTGTTTGTTTGAAGTGTCTCGGACGCGGTTCTTCATCATCAAGATCGATCGATTCGAAGTCCAGGCCATCAACATCAACATCGTCATCGGAAATCAGCATCGACATTCCAAAGGCCGACTCATCGAAGTTGACATCGCGACTTATCATCACCTGCCCCGCTTCGATGTCGTAAACTCGATACGCCTTGGACACTTCTTCGTAGCCCAAAAACAATCCAGCCCGGGCCTTGGGATCCCACTTGAGTCGTTTCTCCTTCGGGGTCAAGATGTATGCTTGGCACCCAAAAACGCGCATGTGCTTGACACTTGGCTTAGAATTGTAGACAATCTCGAACGGTGTCTTGTGTGGAATCTTGGGTGACGGCAAACGGTTCTTCACATAGACGGCCGTCATTGCCGCTTCAGCCCAGAAGCACTTGTCCAACTTGGCATGATGGAGCATGCTACGACCGATGGTGACGATAGTTCGAATCGCGCGTTCAGCAGTTCCATTGGCTTGATGTGCGTATGGCACCGTGGTTTGTTGCTCGATGCCTTCGACTTCGTAGAAATCTTGAAGCGAGTTCGTCGCAAACTCGCGGGCTCCATCGTGTCGCACAAATTTGACCTTCTTGTTGAACTGCGTCTGTATCATCGTGATGTACTTCTTGATGCACTCTTCGCTCTCTGACTTGGAATGCAGACAAAAACCCTTCATGCATCCGCTGGCTTCATCCACGATCAGCAGCAGATACTTGCTGCCACCCAGAGATTTTTTCTTCCATGGGTCCGCAGATGTCGAAGTGGAGCATCTCGAAGGTGTTGTAGGTGCGCTTGTCACGGTTGCTCGGGAATGGTTTTTGGACCATCTTCCCTTCTTGGCATCCTCGACACACACTTGATCCATTCGGCTTGGAAGGGATGTGAGCGTCCTTGATCATGTGGCTTGTCACCATCCTGCGAAGCACGTCGACTGGAGCATGGCCCATTCGCGCATGTAGATCAACAGCGTTGCTGAGTGATGTCGCATTGGCCGATCGCTGCGTCGTGCGAAGCCAGTAGAGTCCGTCTACAAGATCCGCAGCTGCCACCACTTGATTGGAATCCTTGCGAGCGACGTACATCGTATCCCCGTCAAACACCACTTGGAAGTTGCCGTGCTTGTTAATCTGCGGCACCGAGAGCAGATTTTTGCTCATGCTGGGCACATAGAGCGCGTTCTTGATCTCGATCTCGCTCTCTTCCCCGTTTGGCAGAATCACCTTTTCCACGATGGTCCCCACACCTTTGATGGCCGCCTTGTTGCCATCAGCCACCAGGATCTCGCCATCATTGTCTTCGACCAAGCTTGCAAACTTGAACTTGTCGTGGCAGATGTGATGTGTTGCCCCGCTGTCAACGGCCCACATTCCTGGTCCATTCTTGTTCGTCGAAACTCCGCATTCGAACGAAACTGCAAACGCCACTCGATCGTAGCTGTTGCCTTCATCATAATGTCGCCACTGGACATTGTTTGCCCCGCGTCCACGACCATTGCCGCCGCGTTGGGCTCCTCGACTTTCATCCTTTTGCTTCGTCCAGCAACGCTCTGCCGTGTGCCCCACCTTGCCGCAGTATGTGCATTGGTAGGGCTTGCGCTCGGTACTGAATGCCTTTGTCGCATCTTCAGTCTTCACCGTTGTCGTTGCCGTTGTCATCTTCTCGCCTTGTCGCTTGATGTGCTCGTTAGTCAGCACCTTGACCACATCTTGCGTGCGCAGCTCTGCATTGCTCATCTCCAAGTTCAGAACCACGTTCTCGAAACTCTTCGGGAGACTGAGCAGCAAGCAGATCGCAATGTCTTCGTCTTCCATCTTGGCACCGATGCTGCTGAGCTTGGCGCCGATGTTCAAGACTTCGTTGCAATGGTGCAAGACGTTGGCACCTTCCGCCATCTTGATGCTGAACAGCTGGCGCTTGAGGTAGATGCGTCCCGCCTTCTGCGACCCACCATAGAGCATCTTCAACCGCGACCACGCTGTCCATGCTTCTTCACAGTTGTCGACCACATGGTGGTAGTCGGCGTCCATGTGGAGCAACATCAACCCGAACGCGATGTTGCTCGCCTTGACGTACTCGTCGGAAGCTCGCGTGTCGGTGAAGGTTGGAGACGTTTCGCGGTTCACGACGTACCAGACTGACTTCGTCAGAAACACGCCGCGCATGTAGCGACACCAGGTTGAGTAGTTGTCCCCATCGAACTTATCGATGGAGACACTGGCCGAGGTGTTGTTGGATGACATGGCGCTTGGGCTCATAACCTGTTGCAATTTGAGCGCGAGGCGAAGAGAAAACGAAGCGGAGAGACCGGAGAGAACGAAGCAGAGAACACTTGCTCACTTGAGGGAGGATTCGAAAGTGATTGATTTATAGGTCTTAGCTTCTGCCTACCCTAGACTGCATCCAATCACATGGTGCATCTAATCAACCTGATTTACACGCGTCCAATCATCCTACGCGTCTAATCATCTCTGAGGTAATTACCGATGTAAAAATGTTGACGGTCATCGGTTTCTACCAGTATTGGTAACCGTGACCGGTCCAATCCGAACCGCCTGTTCAGCTTAGTATTTACGACGTAGTTCTTACGGTAATTACCATAGTTGATTAGACGCGTAGGATGATGAGACGCTTCACATGATTTATATGTGCACCACATATAAATCATGTAGTAAGTAGTAAGCCCCGATAATCAATCACTTTCCAATCTTCCATCTACCCCCCAAGTGTCTTCTCCGGTCTTCCGAGTGGACTCTCAGCATCCCTCCCAGTTTCGGTCGTCAAGCTCTTCACCAATCAACAGGTTATGAGCCCAAGCACGATGTCCTCTGCCCATGATGCCACCACCAAGATCTCCATCGACAAGTTCGACGGCGACAACTACGCGACGTGGAGCCGCTACATGCGTGGCGTGTTCCTGACCAAGTCGGCGTGGCACGTGGTGAACCGGGAGACCACCCCCACCTTCGCCGATCCTCGCGCCAGTGACGACTACGTCAAGACGAACAACATTGCGTTCGGCTTGATGCTGCTGCACATGAGCGCAGATTATCATCACGTGGTTGATGACTGTGAAGAGGCGTGGGTCGCGTGGGCGCGTTTGAAGACGCTGTACGGCGGGTCGCAGAAGGCTGGACGCATCTACTTGAAGCGCCAGCTGTTCAGCATGGAGATGGCGGAAGGCGGCAATGTGATGCATCATTGCAACGAAGTCCTCAACATCAGCGCGAAGCTCAGCAGCATCGGCGCCAAGATGGAGGACGAGGACGTGGACGATCTGCTTGTTGCGCAGCCTCCCCAAGAGCTACGAGAACGTCGTTCTCAACTTGGAGATGAGCAGCGCGGAACTGCGATCGCGAGACGTCGTGAGAGTGCTCACGAATGAACACATCAAGAGGCAAGGTGACAAAACGACATCGGTGAAGACTGAAGACGCGGCGAAGGCGTTCAGTACCGAGCGTGAACCTCGCCAGTGTACATACTGCGGAAAATTGGGGCACACGGCGGAGCGGTGCTGGACCAAGCAGAAGGACGAGAATCAAGGTGGAGCTCGACGCGGCGGCAACAATGCTCGTGGACGCGGAGCCAACAACGTTCAGTGGCGAACCAACAGCAACTACGACGACAACTACGATCGAGTTGCGTTCGCGGTTTCGCTGGAGGCTGGACTTTCGACGGGCAAGAATATGCCAGGGATGTGGGCAGTCGACAGCGGTGCGACGCATCACATCTGCAACGACAAGGCCAAGTTTGCAAGCCTGAATGAGCGAGAGGAAGGCGAACTATCAGTGGCTGATGGCAGCAAGGCTGCGATCAAGGGTGTGGGAACCATCATGGAACGGGTGGTTCTGCCCAATGGTGACGAACTCAACATCGAGATCAAGGACGCACTGTTCGTACCAAGTATGAGCAAGAATCTGCTTTCGGTGCCACAGATCAACAAGGGTGGCAGGTTCCAAGTCGTGTTCGACGGATCCAAGATGCAAGTGAAGCGCAAGAATTCCACACAAGTCGTGGCAACAGCGGATCTCGTCGATGGACTTTACTGGCTGCGGACTCCTCAACGATCGGCAAATGCAGCAACACGCAATGGGACCATCGACTTGCATGGGTCATGCACCCCTCGAAGTTCTGCGCAAGATGGTGGCCACTGGCATGATCAAGTACGCCAAGGCACCTCTCAACTCGACTGGTCCAAGTGTGTGTCGCGGTTGCCAGCAAGGAAAGATGGTTCAAAAACCATTCCCAACCAACCGTGACAAGCGCCAACATGGTGTGTTCGAGTTGCTGCACTTCGACATCTGCGGGCCAATGGAACAAGTCTCGATCGGCGGCAGCAGATACTTACTGCTTGTGGTTGACGAAGCTAGCGGTTGCATGAAGGGCTTCTGTCTGCGGTCCAAGTCTGAGAGTGAAGACTGTATCAAGAACCACATCATCAAGATTCAAACTCAGTTCGGCACGAAGATCAAGTTTGTTCGGCACGATGGAGCGCATGAGTTTGCGACCAACTCCATCAAGACCTTCTACGAAGATCATGGTATCGAACAACAGATCACGGTGCCGTATGCACACCAGACCAACGGCACCGCAGAACGCGCGATAAGGACCATCGTCACGATCGGACGCAGCTTATTGCATCATGCAAAACTGGAGAAGTGTTTCTGGGCTGAAGCGGCAATGACGGCGATCTACATCAAGAACCGCCTGCCTTCACCCAAGATCGACCACAAGACTCCGTTCGAGATCGTGTACAAGTCGAAACCAAGTGTCAAGCACATGCGCGTGTTTGGATGTCGGGCGTTTATCCTGACACCAAGGGAGAAGCGATTGAAGTGGGACCCGAAGGCTTGTGAAGGGATGTTCATGGGCTACGAAGAAGCGTCAAAAGCTTATCGAGTGTACGACATTGAGACGGACCAAGTGGTGATCAGTCGTGACATCACCTTCGACGAATCGACTTTTGACTTTTCGATGGACCGACCAAGTGACGATGATGAAGATGCGGAGTTGGACCTCGACCTCCTGGCGATCAACGAGGACGACGTGCGTCAAACCGTCTACAAGCAGACTGGCAAGCGCAAGAGTGAAACAAGACCCGGCATGTCACGTTCAGCTCGCCCTCGAACTGGGTTGGAACAAGCAAGTGCGCCGGAACACGTCTCCAACTGTCACCAGAAACGACGATCAAGTGCTCCAGAAACGATGTCTGATGACGAAGAAGATACAAGCGTCTACGATCAAGATGACGACTCGACGCCTCCAACATTTTGGCGTGCAAGCGCAAACGCAGTGGAAGCAACGGACCTAGCAGAACCTGTGACTTTTCAAGACGCGATCAATGGTCCTGATCAAGCTCACTGGCGAAATGCTGTGAAGGCGGAGCTCAAGTCGATGCATCTTCGTGGAGTTTTCCGTGCGACAAAACTACCAAGAGGCCAAGGCGCGATCGGCACCAAGTGGGTGTTCAAGATCAAGCGCAAAGCGGATGGATCGGTCGAGAAATACAAGGCGCGTCTCGTTGCCAAGGGCTTCAAGCAGAAGTACGGTATCGACTACACAGAGACGTTCTCGCCCGTGGTCAAGTACGTGACACTGCGTATGGTGATCGCGATCACCAAGTATTTCGACTGGCCACTGGACCAACTCGATGTGGTGACAGCCTTTCTCTACGGAGTGATGAAGGAGAAGGTGTACTGCGTGATACCAGAAGGCGTCGAGATGGATGGCGACTTCGACTGTCTCGAGTTGGTGAAGGCGATCTACGGTCTCAAGCAAGCTTCACGTGTGTGGAACGAGACTTTCGACGAGTTCGTATGCTCTATCGGTTTCGAAGCGTCGGCGTTCGACCCATGTCTCTACATCAAGGTTGTCGACGGTCACTGTGTGCTCGTGCTGGTCTACGTGGATGACGTGTTGGTCACCGGCAGCTCACTCGAGTTGATTGCGCAGACGAAGGCCGACCTCAAGACGCGTTTCGAGATGACCGACAGTGGCAAGTGTACTTTTGTACTGGGCATCGAACTGGTGGACGAATCGGATGGCAGCGTGACGATGTGCCAGCGACGGTATGTCAACGACATCCTCAAGCGCTTCGGCATGGATGAGTGCAAGGCCACAGCAAGTCCGGTGGACTTGAGCACTCGGCTTGTCGCAAGCAGCGAAGCGGCCAAGATCGACGTTCCGTTTCGTGAAGCTGTGGGAGCTTTGATGCACTTGACGACTGCGACGCGCCCGGATATTGCGTATGCTGTGGGGTACGTCTCGCGCTTCATGGAGAATCCGCAGCAAGAACATTGGACGGCGGTGAAGCGCATCTTTCGTTACTTGCAAGGGACCAAGTCACACGGACTCCGCTTCCAGCCAAGCAACAAGATCGACTTTCGTGGTTACTCGGACGCGGACTGGGCCGGCGACCACGCTGATCGCAAGTCGACTTCGGGTTACACTTTCATGCTGATGGGTGCTCCTGTGAGTTGGGGAAGCAAGAAGCAGTCAAGTGTGTCGCTATCGACGAGTGAAGCGGAATACATCGCACTGAGTCTGGCCATCCAGGAAGGCAAGTGGGTGCATCGCCTGCTATGCGAGATTTTGGCGGCCGCAAACGAACCAGGACCGGACCTCGTCATCCGTGAAGACAACCAGTCGTGCATCAAGATGACGAAGAATCCGGTGAATCATGGCCGCGCCAAGCACATCGACATCAAGTACCATCACATCCGTGATGAGGTCAAGCGCGGTGAAGTGCAGCTCGAGTATTGCGAGACTTCCGTGATGATGGCGGACATCATGACCAAGGGACTTTCGGGACCTCGTCACAAGGACTTGACGACGGCTCTCGGCATTCGTGCGAGTTCGGATTGAGGGGGCGTGTTGACGGTCATCGGTTTCTACCAGTATTGGTAACCGTGACCGGTCCAATCCGAACCGCCTGTTCAGCTTGGTATTTACGACGTAGTTCTTACGGTAATTACCATAGTTGATTAGACGCGTAGGATGATGAGACGCTTCACATGATTTATATGTGCACCACATATAAATCATGTAGTAAGTAGTAAGCCCCGATAATCAATCACTTTCCAATCTTCCATCTACCCCCCAAGTGTCTTCTCCGGTCTTCCGAGTGGACTCTCAGCATCCCTCCCAGTTTCGGTCGTCAAGCTCTTCACCAATCAACAAAAAACTGTCTCGTAAGAACTACGCGCTAGGTTCGAATTGTACCGGTAACCCTCAATAGACTCTCACCACATCTTGAGTGCGAAGCTCGGTGCTGCTCATTTCCATGTTGAGCACCACATTTTCGTAGCTCTTCGGAAGACTGAGTAGCAGACAAATTGCAACGTCTTCGTCTTCCATCTTCGCACCGATGCCGCTAAGCTTGGCGGAGATGTTGAGGACCTCGTTGCAGTGATGCATGACGTTCGCGCCTTCAGCCATCTTGATACTGAAAAGTTGTCGCTTGAGGTAGATGCGTCCTGCCTTCTGCGAACCACCATACAGCGTCTTCAGACTTGTCCACGCAACCCAGGCTTCCTCGCAGTTGTCCAGCACATGATGGTAGTCCGCGTTCATGTGCAGCAGCATCATACCAAACGCGACGTTGCTTGCCTTGACGTAGTCATCGGACGCTCGCGGGTCGGTGAAAGTCGGAGTCACTTCACGGTTGACAACGTGCCAGACGGACTTCGTCAAAAACACACCGCGCATGTACCGGCTCCACGTTGCGTAATTGTCTCCGTTGAACTTGTCAATGGAGGCGTTGCTGGTGGACGACATGGCGCTTGGGCTCATAACCTGTTGTATTGTAGATCGGAGCGAGGAAAGCGGAGCGAACGGAGCGGAGAGACCGAAGAGAGTAGAGCAGAAAACACTTGCCTAATAGTTGGAAGATTCGAAAGTGATTGATTATCGGGACTTACTACTTACTACATGATTTATATGTGGTGTACATATAAATCATGTGAAGCGTCTCATCATCCTACGCGTCTAATCAACTATGGTAATTACCGTAAGAACTACGTCGTAAATATGTTGCATTGTAGATCGGAGCGAGGAAAGCGGAGCGAACGGAGCGGAGAGACCGAAGAGAGTGTTGCAATGTAGATCGGAGCGAGGAAAGGGGAGCAAACGGAGCGGAGAGACCGAAGAGAGTAGAGCAGAAAACACTTGCCCAATAGTTGGAAGATTCGAAAGTGATTGATTATGGGTTCTACTACATGATTTATATGTGGTGTACATATAAATCATGTGAGCGTCTCATCATCCTACGCGTCTAATCAACTATGGTAATTACCGTAAGAACTACGTCGTAAATACTAAGCTGAACAGGCGGTTCGGATTGGATCGGTCACGGTTACCAACACTGGTAGAAAACCGATGACCGTCAACAATCCACAAGATCGGCCATCGCCATTACTTGCTTGGAGCCTTTGTGCGAAATCTTCATTTCTTCAACATCAAACACCACTTGAAACTTGCCGCTTTTGTTGATTTGTGGTATCGACAGCAAGTTCTTGTTCATGCTTGGAACATAAAGCGCGTTCTTGATCTAGACTTCGCGCTCTTCACCATTGGACAGGATCACCTTTTCGATGATTGTCCCGACACCGTTGATCGCAGCCTTGCTCGCCTCTGCAACCAACACTTCACCTTCATTGCGCTCGTCCATAACTTCGAACTTGGACTTGTCATAGCAGATGTGATGTTTTGTACCGCTGTCAATCGCCCACATTCCAGACATGCTCCTGGTCGTTGAAAGTCCGCATTCCGGCAAAACAGAAAACGCCACTCAATCATGGTCATAGTTGTTGTTGCCGTTGTAGCTTTTCCACTGAACTTGATTCGCTCCGCGTCCACCAGCATTGCCGCCGCGTCGAGCTCCCCGATTGTCTTCCTTCTGCTTGGTCCAGCACTTTACCACCATGTGCCCCAATTTCCCACAGAACGTACACTGACGAACCTCACGCTCGGTACTGAAGGCCCTGGTCGCTTCTTCAGTTTTCACCGACGTCGTCTTGTTTCCTTGTTTCCTTGTCTCTTGATGTACTCACTCGTCAGCTCTATCACGACGTCTTGCGTCCGCAGTTCCACGCTGCTCATCTCCAAGTTCAGCACGACATTCTCGTAGCTCTTGGGGAGGCTGCACAACAAGCAGATCGCCACGTCCTCATCCTCCATCTTGGCACCGATACTGCTGAGCTTGGCGCTGATATGGAGAACTTCATTGCTGCGGTGCTTGGTATGAGTCGAGAACTGGTGTCTGTTGGGCTGGTGACGGCTTTGCAGTCGCTCATGCCAAAACGTTTGAGAACATCTTCCACGTAGCGTCGCTGGCACATCGTCACGCTACCGTTGTCGTTGTCCACCAGCTCGATGCCCAACACGAATGCGCACTTGCCGCTGTCAGTCATTTCGAAACGCGCCTTTAAGTCACTCTTGGTGCGCATAATCAGTTCGGTCGAACTGCCAGTCACCAGCACATCATTGACGTATACCAGCAAAAGCACGCACTCGCCACTTGTAATCTTGAGATAAAGACACGGGTCAAAATCGGATACTTGAAATCCAGTGGAGCAGACGAACTCATGGAAAGTCTCGTTCCATACACGCGATGCTTGTTTTAGTCCGTAGATCGCCTTGACCAGTTCAAAGCAGTCAAAGTCTTCATCAACCTCGATCCCTTCTGGGATCGCGCAGAATACCTGCTCTTCATTTCTCCGTATAGGAAAGCTGTCACCACGTCCAGTTGGTCCAGTGTCCAGTCAAAGTACTTCGTGATTGCAACCACCATGCGCAGCGTCACGTACTTGACTACCGGCGAAAACGTCTCCGTGTAGTCGATGCCATACTTTTGGCGGAAACCCTTGGCCACAAGTCGTGCCTTGTACTTCTCGATTGACCCATCCGCCTTGCGCTTGATCTTGAACACCCATTTTGTGCCAATGGCGCGTTGTCCGTTGGGAAGCTTGGCTGCACGAAACACACCGCGAAGTCGCATTGACTCGAGCTCTGCATGAATTGCTTTTCTCCAGTGCACTTGGTCAGGGTCGCTTACTGCTGCTTCAAATGTTGAGGGCTCTGATAAGTTCACTGCTGCTTCAACGGCATTTGCACTCGCACGCCAAAACACAGGCGGTGTTGAATGACCAGAATCCTTCATTTCTTCGTCTTCTTCTTGTCGTGACGAGTTGTTTTCCGGCGCGCTTGACTCTTCTAGTCCTGGTCGTTGACGCACTGCACGCGGTCGTGGAGGTGCTGTATCTTCATCATTGAGTCGGTTCTTGCGCTTGCCTGTTTGCTTGTACTCCATTTGACGCAGCTCTTCGTCATCAAGATCCAGCAATTCGAAGTCCAGGTCATCGACATCTTCATCAGTGATCGGCAGTTGAAGTCCAAAGGTGGACTCTTCGAAGTTGACATCGCGGCTGATAACCACCTGCCCCGCCTCGATGTCATAAACACGATATGCCTTCGAAACTTCTTCGTAGCCCACGAATATGCCAGCGCGAGCCTTTGGATCCCACTTGAGTCGATTCTCTTTAGGCGTCAGTATGTATGTCTGACACCCGAATGTTCGCATGTGCTTGACGCTTGGTTTCAAGTTGTAGACGATCTCAAACGGGGTCTTGTGCACGACTTTAGGTGACGGCAGTCGATTCTTGACGTAGATGGCCGTCATCGCTGCTTCGGCCCAGAAACACTTGTCCAGTTTGGCATGATGAAGCATGCTGCGGCCGATCGTGACAATAGTCCTAATGGCACGCTCTGCTGTTCTGTTTGTTTGATGTGCATACGGCACCGTTGTCTGCTGTTCAATGCCTTCGTCTTCGTAGAACAGCTGAAGCGAGTTGGTTGCAAACTCGCGAGCTCCGTCGTGTCGCACGAACTTGACCTTCTTACAGAATTGCGTCTGTACCATGGTGATATATTTCCGGATGTAGTCTTCACTCTCGGACTTCACTCGTAGACAAAAGCCCTTCATGCATCCACTGGCTTCGTCGATGATCAGCAGCAAATATTTGCTGCCACCGAGCGAATCCTTTTCCATGGGCCCGCAGATGTCCAGATGAAGTAGCTCAAACGTATCGTAGCTGCGCTTGTCTCGGTTGCTTGGAAATGGTTTTTGGACCATTTTCCCTTGTTGACATCCTCGACATGTAGTTGCTCCACCCGACTTGAGAGGGACTCGCACATCCTTGATCATGTTGGTCGCGATCATCTTGCGAAGTACATTGACTGATGCATGACCCATTCTCGCATGTAGATCGGCACAACTGGTTCCACTTGTTGTCACATTCGCTGATCGTTGAGTCGTCCGAAGCCAGTAGAGTCCATCCACGAAATCCGCTGTCGCCACCACTTGCTGTGAGTTCTTGAGAGTCACATACATCTTGGACCCGTCAAACACGACTTGAAACTTGCCATGACTGTTAATCTGTGGCACCGAGAGCAGGTTCTTGCTCATACTTGGAACATATAGCGCGTTCTTGATTTCGATCTCACGCTCTTCACCGTTGGGCAGAACCACCTTTTCCATGATGGTTCCCACACCCTTGATGGCCACCTTGTTGCCATCAGCCACCAAGAGTTCGCCCTCATTGCGCTCTGCCAAACTTGCGAACTTGGTTTTGTCGTGGCAAATGTGGTGCGTTGCACCACTGTCGACGGGCCACATTCCAGACACGTCCTTGCTCGTCGAAACTCCACATTCGAACGAGACTGCAAACGCCACTCGATCGTAGCCATTGCCTTCATCATGATGTCCCCACTGGACATTGTTAGCCCCGCGTCCACGACCATTGCCGCCGCGTCGGGCTCCCCGACCTTCGTTCTTCTGCTTTGTCCAGCAACGATCCACCGTGTGTCCCACCTTGCCACAATACGTTCATTGGTAGGGCTCACGCTCGGCGCTGAATGCCTTGCTTGCATCTTCAGCCTTCACCGTAGTCGCTGTCGTTGTCCCTTTTTCTCCTTGACGCTTGGCATGCTCATTCGTCAGGACTCTCACCACATCTTGAGTGCGAAGCTCGGTGCTGCTCATTTCCATGTTGAGCACCACATTTTCGTAGCTCTTCGGAAGACTGAGTAGCAGACAAATTGCAACGTCTTCGTCTTCCATCTTCGCACCGATGCCGCTAATCTTGGCGGAGATGTTGAGGACTGTTGAAAAGACAGCGGCGGTGAAGAAGACACCTCGTCAAGCTGCGTCAAGTGTTAAATCAAGTGGAAGACCAAGCTTCGCTATACCGGTGGGTACCGGTATGTACCAGTAAGGGCGAAGTCAGGAAATGACGTCATTGCATGACGTCACTGCGAATAATAGGCTTAGAGGTAGTATTCAAAGTTGCGAACTAAGTACCTATTATAAATATATATTCACTTTGCGTTTTGCACTCGGACCAAGAAGTCTAAAGTTCATCAGGTTATGAGCCCAAGTTCGTCAGACTCTGAAACCGCCAACAATTCAAGCTTAGCTGCCATGGACGCCTCCTCCCTCCGCATCTCCGAGTTCGATGGAACTAACTTCCACGCCTGGAAGTTCAAGATGCAGATGGTGCTGGAGGAACGGGACCTATGGGAGGTCGTCAGCGGTGAGATCAAGGCGGAACAGTGCGAGACTCAGTTGGACTAAGCGACGTACAAGAGGAAGTCAAGAAAGGCGATGGCAGTGATCTGTCTAGCCATGGAAGATTCCCAGCTACCGTTGGTCCGGTCGGCAAGTGGTGCATGCGACGCATGGTCAAGGTTGGAAGACCACTTCGAGAAGAAGAGTCTTGCCAACAAGCTGTTCTTGCGCCGTCGTCTCTTCACGACAATGATGGAAGAAGGCGACGATGTGCTCAAACACATCAACAAGCTCAAGACGCTGGCGGAACAGCTAGAAGCGGTGGGGGCTGCAGTCTGCGAGGACGATCTGGTGATCACACTTCTCGGCAGCCTGAGTGACTCGTATCAATTCTTGATCACAGCTTTGGAGTCGCGCTCAGACACTCTTAGCTGGGAGCTCGTGACGTCTCGACTGCTTCATGAAGAAATGAAGCGGAAGGAGCAAGGAAGTAAAGGTGATGAAGCTTCGCAAGGTCAAGCGTTCATCACAAGGGACAATCAGCGCAAAGGGCGACCAGTGAAGAAGTCCTGGCCGTGCCACAATTGCGGAAAGATTGGTCACTGGATGGCGGAGTGCCCCTCGCGCATCCAAGAAAACACGGAGAGACACCGGCCACAGCGTGCTCAAGACAGCGGCGACCGCTATCGATCACAACGTGCAAACGTCGCTCAAGAAGAAGACTCGGGCGACTACCTCTTTTCGATCGGTGAAACGACATCTGCGAAATCGAGCGACATCTGGTTGGTCGACTCCGGGGCGACGCAGCACATGACGTGCTCCAAGAAGTTCATGCGGAACTACAAGGGGTTTGACGCTGTGGATGTCCATCTCGCGGATGATGGAATCGTCCAAGCAATCGGCAGTGGGGACATTGTCATGTCGATGAAGACACCCCAAGGGATGAAGAAAGGTGTGCTCACAAACGTGTGGCACATCCCAAAGTTATCCAGAAACCTGTTCTCGGTCGGCCGCTTCACCAAGGATGTCGGCCCAGTGACGTTCACGAAGGATGGGTGCTATGGAAAAGCGAAAGGGACCAAGTGGAAAATTGGTGCCCGTGAAGGTAAAGGACTGTTCAAGCTGCAAATGACTCCAGTGGCGCCGGAACAAGCAAATGCAGCCAAGTCGTCGGGATGTCAAGGGGGCACCAAGTCGTACCTCTGGCACCTTCGGCTTGGCCACATAGGTCACGATGGACTCAATTGCATCGTGACGAAGAACATTGGAATTGGCATCGACATATCTTCGGTGAAGAAGTGGGACGTGTGTGAAGGTTGTGCTCTGGGAAAACAGACTCGAGTGCGCTTCCAATCAAACACTACAGCTCGCACCTCCAAACTCCTCGAAGTGATTCACAGCGACGTATGCGGACCGATGTCGATGGCAACTTTCAGTGGAAAACGGTACTTCGTGACATTCATCGATGACAAGTCAAGATACTGTGTCGTCTATCTGCTCAAGAGCAAATCTGAAGTTGCGGCGAAGTTCATGGAATACGCTGCGATGGCCGAAACGCAAACCGGAAAGCGCGTGAAGTACCTTCAAAGCGACAATGGGGGTGAATACAAGTCCGACAAGCTGGCACGATTCTGCGCGGAACGGGTGTTGACGGTCATCGGTTTTCTACCAGTATTGGTAACCGTGACCGGTCCAATCCGAACCGCCTGTTCAGCTTAGTATTTACGACGTAGTTCTTACGGTAATTACCATAGTTGATTAGACGCGTAGGATGATGAGACGCTTCACATGATTTATATGTGCACCACATATAAATCATGTAGTAAGTAGTAAGCCCCGATAATCAATCACTTTCCAATCTTCCATCTACCCCCCAAGTGTCTTCTCCGGTCTTCCGAGTAGACTCCCAGCATCACTCCCAGTTTTGGTCGTCAAGCTTTTCACCAGTCAACAGGTTATGAGCCCAAGCACGATGTCCTCTGCTCATGATGCCACCACCAAGATCTCCATCGACAAGTTCGACGGCGACAACTACGCGACGTGGAGCCGCTACATGCGTGGCGTGTTCCTGACCAAGTCGGCGTGGCACGTGGTGAACCGGGAGACCACCCCCACCTTCGCTGATCCTCGCGCCAGTGACGACTACGTCAAGACGAACAACATTGTGTTCGGCTTGATGCTGCTGCACATGAGCGCGGATTATCATCACGTGGTTGATGACTGTGAAGAGGCGTGGGTCGCGTGGGCGCGTTTGAAGACGCTGTACGGCGGGTCGCAGAAGGCTGGACGCATCTACTTGAAGCGCCAGCTGTTCAGCATGGAGATGGCGGAAGGCGGCAATGTGATGCATCATTGCAACGAAGTCCTCAACATCAGCGCGAAGCTCAGCAGCATCGGCGCCAAGATGGAGGACGAGGACGTGGCGATCTGCTTGTTGCGCAGCCTCCCCAAGAGCTACGAGAACGTCGTTCTCAACTTGGAGATGAGCAGCGCGGAACTGCGATCGCGAGACGTCGTGAGAGTGCTCACGAATGAGCACATCAAGAGACAAGGTGACAAGACGACATCGGTGAAGACTGAAGACGCGGCGAAGGCGTTCAGTGCCGAGCGTGAACCTCGCCAGTGTACATACTGCGGAAAATTGGGGCACACGGCGGAGCGGTGCTGGACCAAGCAGAAGGACGAAAATCAAGGTGGAGCTCGACGCGGCGGCAACAATGCTCGTGGACGCGGAGCCAACAACGTTCAGTGGCGAACCAACAGCAACTACGATGACAACTACGATCGAGTTGCGTTCGCGGTTTCGCTGGAGGCTGGACTTTCGACGGGCAAGAATATGCCAGGGATGTGGGCAGTCGACAGCGGTGCGACGCATCACATCTGCAACGACAAGGCCAAGTTTACAAGCCTGAATGAGCGAGAGGAAGGCGAACTATCAGTGGCTGATGGCAGCAAGGCTGCGATCAAGGGTGTGGGAACCATCATGGAACGGGTGGTTCTGCCCAATGGTGACGAACTCGACATCGAGATCAAGGACGCACTGTTCGTACCAAGTATGAGCAAGAATCTGCTTTCGGTGCCACAGATCAACAAGGGTGGCAGGTTCCAAGTCGTGTTCGATGGATCCAAGATGCAAGTGAAGCGCAAGAATTCCACACAAGTCGTGGCAACAGCGGATCTCGTCGATGGACTTTACTGGCTGCGGACTCCTCAACGATCGGCAAATGCAGCAACACGCAATGGGACCATCGACTTGCATGCGCGCATGGGTCATGCACCCCTCGAAGTTCTGCGCAAGATGGTGGCCACTGGCATGATCAAGGACGCCAAGGCACCTCTCAACTCGACTGGTCCAAGTGTGTGTCGCGGTTGCCAGCAAGGAAAGATGGTTCAAAAACCATTCCCAACCAACCGTGACAAACGCCAATATGGTGTGTTCGAGTTGCTGCACTTCGACATCTGCGGGCCAATGGAACAAGTTTCGATCGGCGGCAGCAGATACTTACTGCTTGTGGTTGACGAAGCCAGCGGTTGCATGAAGGGCTTCTGTCTGCGGTCCAAGTCTGAGAGTGAAGACTGTATCAAGAACCACATTATCAAGATTCAAACTCAGTTCGGCACGAAGATCAAGTTTGTTCGGCACGATGGAGCGCATGAGTTTGCGACCAACTCCATCAAGACCTTCTAAGAAGATCATGGTATCGAACAACAGATCACGGTGCCGTATGCACACCAGACCAACGGCACCGCAGAACGCGCGATAAGGACCATCGTCACGATCGGACGCAGCTTGTTGCATCATGCAAAGCTGGAGAAGTGTTTCTGGGCTGAAGCGGCAATGACGGCGATCTACATCAAGAACCGCCTGCCTTCACCCAAGATCGACCACAAGACTCCGTTCGAGATCGTGTACAAGTCGAAACCAAGTGTCAAGCACATGCGCGTGTTTGGATGTCGGGCGTTTATCCTGACACCAAGGGAGAAGCGATTGAAGTGGGACCCGAAGGCTTGTGAAGGGATGTTCATGGGCTACGAAGAAGCGTCAAAAGCTTATCGAGTGTACGACATTGAGACGGGCCAAGTGGTGATCAGTCGTGACATCACCTTCGACGAATCGACTTTTGACTTTTCGATGGACCGACCAAGTGACGATGATGAAGATGCGGAGTTGGACCTCGACCTCCTGGCGATCAACGAGGACGACGTGCGTCAAACCGTCTACAAGCAGACTGGCAAGCGCAAGAGTGAAGCAAGACCCGGCATGTCACGGTCAGCTCGCCCTCGAACTGGGTTGGAACAAGCAAGTGCGCCGGAACACGTCTCCAACCGTCACCAGAAACGACGATCAAGTGCTCCAGAAACGATGTCTGATGACGAAGAAGATGCAAGCGTGTACGATCAAGATGACGACTCGACGCCTCCAACATTTTGGCGTGCAAGTGCAAACGCAGTGGAAGCAACGGACCTAGCAGAACCTGTGACTTTTCAAGACGCGATCAATGGTCCTGATCAAACTCACTGGCGAAATGCTGTGAAGGCGGAACTCAAGTCGATGCATCTTCGTGGAGTTTTCCGTGCGGCAAAACTGCCAAGAGGCCAAGGCGCGATCGGCACCAAGTGGGTGTTCAAGATCAAGCGCAAAGCGGATGGATCGGTCGAGAAATACAAGGCGCGTCTCGTTGCCAAGGGCTTCAAGCAGAAGTACGGCATCGACTACACAGAGACGTTCTCGCCCGTGGTCAAGTACGTGACACTGCGTATGGTGATCGCGATCACCAAGTATTTCGACTGGCCACTGGACCAACTCGATGTGGTGACAGCCTTTCTCTACGGAGTGATGAAGGAGAAGGTGTACTGCGTGATACCAGAAGGCGTCGAGATGGATGGCGACTTCGACTGTCTCGAGTTGGTGAAGGCGATCTACGGTCTCAAGCAAGCTTCACGTGTGTGGAACGAGACTTTCGACGAGTTCGTATGCTCCATCGGTTTCGAAGCGTCGGCGTTCGACCCATGTCTCTACATCAAGGTTGTCGACGGTCACTGTGTTGCTCGTGCTGGTCTACGTGGATGACGTGTTGGTCACCGGCAGCTCACTCGAGTTGATTGCGCAGACGAAGGCCGACCTCAAGACGCGTTTCGAGATGACCGACAGTGGCAAGTGTACTTTTGTACTGGGCATCGAACTGGTGGACGAATCGGATGGCAGCGTGACGATGTGCCAGCGACGGTATGTCAACGACATCCTCAAGCGCTTCGGCATGGATGAGTGCAAGGCCACAGCAAGTCCGGTCGACTTGAGCACTCGGCTTGTCGCAAGCACCGAAGCGGCCAAGATCGACGTTCCGTTTCGTGAAGCTGTGGGAGCTTTGATGCACTTGACGACTGCGACGCGCCCGGACATTGCGTATGCTGTGGGGTACGTCTCGCGCTTCATGGAGAATCCGCAGCAAGAACATTGGACGGCGGTGAAGCGCATCTTTCGTTACTTGCAAGGGACCAAGTCGCACGGACTCCGCTTCCAGCCAAGCGACAAGATCGACTTTCGTGGCTACTCGGACGCGGACTGGGCCGGCGACCACGCTGATCGCAAGTCGACTTCGGGTTACACTTTCATGCTGATGGGTGCTCCTGTGAGTTGGGGAAGCAAGAAGCAGTCAAGTGTGTCGCTGTCGACGAGTGAAGCGGAATACATCGCACTGAGTCTGGCCATCCAGGAAGGCAAGTGGGTGCATCGCCTGCTATGCGAGATTTTGGCGGCCGCAAACGAACCAGGACCGGACCTCGTCATCCGTGAAGACAACCAGTCGTGCATCAAGATGACGAAGAATCCGGTCAACCACGGCCGCGCTAAACACATCGACATCAAGTACCATCACATCCGTGATGAAGTCAAGCGCGGTGAAGTGAAGCTCGAGTATTGCGAGACTTCCGTGATGATGGCGGACATCATGACCAAGGGACTTTCGGGACCTCGTCACAAGGACTTGACGACGGCTCTCGGCATTCGTGCGAGTTCGGATTGAGGGGGCGTGTTGACGGTCATCGGTTTCTACCAGTATTGGTAACCGTGACCGGTCCAATCCGAACCGCCTGTTCAGCTTGGTATTTACGACGTAGTTCTTACGGTAATTACCATAGTTGATTAGACGCGTAGGATGATGAGACGCTTCACATGATTTATATGTGCACCACATATAAATCATGTAGTAAGTAGTAAGTCCCGATAATCAATCACTTTCGAATCTTCCATCTACCCCCCAAGTGTCTTCTCCGGTCTTCCGAGTAGACTCCCAGCATCACTCCCAGTTTTGGTCGTCAAGCTTTTCACCAGTCAACAACGGGGAATACAACAAAGGTTCACACCCCCATATACTCCTCAGCTAAACGGAGTAGCTGAGAGAATGAATCGCACGCTGGTCGAGTGTGCGCGTTGCATGATGGAACACGCTGGACTGGGAAAGAGCTACTGGGGTGAAGCAGTGATGACGGCGATGTTTCTTCGAAACCGCTGTCCAACACGTGCCATTCACCAAGACAAGTCTCCATATCAAGTGTGGACGATGAAGAAACCGATTCTGGCCAACCTTAAAGTGTTTGGATGCCACGCGTATGTTCAAGTGCCTCAAGACAAACGCACGAAGTTCGACTCCAAGTCATCACTCTGTCGTTTCCTGGGATACGCCGAACACCAGAAGTCATATCGATTTGAGGAAGTGTCAACAGGAGCGATCAAGATCAGTCGCGATGCCACATTCATGGAAGACAAGTTTGATGAAGGTCCGCGCAACTACAACGATGAGTCAAGTGCCGTTGAGTTTGATGATCATGATGAGGACGAAGAAAAAGAAGAAGGTAAAACTGACGACGACATGGACTCGAGCGACGATGACAACGAAGACACCAGGTCTTCGAAGAGCAACATCAAGAGACACACGCGCACTCAATCACTTGAGAAAGCTACCGTCATTCCAAGTCCCAAGCGAAGAACGTACAGAGGTCCGTCGCTTGAGCATGTGTCAGCGGCTGCAATGGATTTTGAAGCAGCCTACATCGTTGATTCAGTGGGGGAAACGCCGACTACATTCAAGTCGGCGATGGAATCAAGCGACTCCGGCAAGTGGAAAGAAGCGTGTGACTCGGAGTTCGACTCGCTTCAGAGAAACGACACGTGGGAAATCGTGCCTCTTCCGAAAGGTCGCAAGGCCATCGGGTGCCGATGGGTTTTTCGTGTAAAGGAGAATCAAGATGGCGAAGTTGAACGTTTCAAGGCAAGACTTGTGGCCAAAGGATTCTCACAGAAATTCGGAGTTGACTATGAAGAAACTTTCGCACCGGTGGCCAAGTTCACATCGATTCGTGTGGTGCTCAGTATGGCGGCCAAGTACGGCCTAATGCTACATCAGATGGACGTCAAGACAGCGTTTCTTAACGGCTCCCTCAACAAAGACATCTACATGGACCAGCCGGACGGATACCTGGATGCAACACAGCCGGACTATGTGTGCAAGCTAAAGAGATCACTCTACGGCTTGAAGCAATCGCCTCGCATGTGGAACCAAACAATCGATGGGTTCATGATCAAGATGGGATTCAAGAAGTGCGAATCGGACCACTGCATCTACATCAAGCGAGACGACCAAGACGTGATTCTCGTGGTGCTCTACGTCGATGATCTCATCCTGGCCAGCAGCAACAACGAACTCCTCAAGTCGACCAAGATGGCGCTGAGCAAACGCTTCGAAATGACGGATCTCGGTGAGCTCGATTACTTTCTCGGCATGGAGATCAAGAACGACCGTAAGACGGGAATGGTGACTGTGCAACAAACCAAGTTTCTCAAGTCCGTGTTGACCAAGTTCGGAATGGATAACAGCAAGCCAGTGAAGACGCCTCAAGATCCCGGCCTGAGGCTAACCAAGAACATGTGTGAACAAGAATGCAAGCACGAAGACACCATGTGCAACGTGCCATATCGAAGTGCTGTCGGAGGCATCATGTATCTCATGGTCGCCACACGTCCGGATCTAGCTGCTGCAGTGGGATCATTATCCCAGTTCTCGTCCGACCCATGCCCGACTCACTGGCAAGCTTTGAAGCGTGTGCTGAGATACCTGCAAGCAACGCCCAATCATGGTCTTGAGTTTACACGTGAAGAAGGAAGCCGTATCTGCGGGTACACCGACGCAGACTGGGCCGGCGACATTGAGTCAAGACGAAGTACAAGCGGCTATGTGTTCATGATGAACGGAGGATGCATCAGCTGGAAAAGCCAGAAACAACGGACGGTCGCGCTATCTTCAACAGAAGCAGAATACATGGCGCTTTCCGAAGCAACCAAAGAAGCAGTGTAGCTCAAGGTGCTTTTGGGTGAACTTGGTGAGATGACAAGCGACGAAGCGATCAAGATGTATGAAGACAACCAAGGATCAATCGCTCTCGCCAAGAACCCGGAGTTCCATAAGAGAACAAAACACATCGACATACGCTACCATTTTGTGCGTGAGAAGGTGGAATCAGGTGAAGTCGTTTTGGAGTATTGCTCGACTCAAGATATGCTGGCAGACATGACGACCAAGCCGATCGCCGCTGTACAATTTGAAAACATTCGCGATCGACTTGGGATCCAAGGTGCCGCAGCTAACGAGTCGAGAGGGAGTGTTGAAAAGACAGCGGCGGTGAAGAAGACACCTCGTCAAGCTGCGTCAAGTGTTAAATCAAGTGGAAGACCAAGCTTCGCTATACCGGTGGGTACCGGTATGTACCAGTAAGGGCGAAGTCAGGAAATGACGTCATTGCATGACGTCACTGCGAATAATAGGCTTAGAGGTAGTATTCAAAGTTGCGAACTAAGTACCTATTATAAATATATATTCACTTTGCGTTTTGCACTCGGACCAAGAAGTCTAAAGTTCATCAAGGACCTCGTTGCAGTGATGCATGACGTTCGCGCCTTCAGCCATCTTGATACTGAAAAGTTGTCGCTTGAGGTAGATGCGTCCTGCCTTCTGCGACCCACCGTACAGCGTCTTCAGACTTGTCCACGCAACCCAGGCTTCCTCGCAGTTGTCCAGCACATGATGGTAGTCCGCGTTCATGTGCAGCAGCATCATACCAAACGCGACGTTGCTTGCCTTGACGTAGTCATCGGACGCTCGCGGGTCGGTGAAAGTCGGATTCACTTCACGGTTGACGACGTGCCAGACGGACTTCGTCAAAAACACACCGCGCATGTACCGGCTACACGTTGCGTAATTGTCTCCGTTGAACTTGTCAATGGAGGCGTTGCTGGTGGACGACATGGCGCTTGGGCTCATAACCTGTTGCATTGTAGATCGGAGCGAGGAAAGCGGAGCGAACGGAGCGGGAGAGACCGAAGAGAGTAGAGCAGAAAACACTTGCCCAATAGTTGAAAGATTTGAAAGTGATTGATTATCGGGGCTTACTACTTACTACATGATTTATATGTGGTGTACATATAAATCATGTGAAGCGTCTCATCATCCTACGCGTCTAATCAACTATGGTAATTACCGTAAGAACTACGTCGTAAATACTAAGCTGAACAGGCGGTTCGGATTGGATCGGTCACGGTTACCAACACTGGTAGGAAACCGATGACCGTCAACAATCCACAAGATCGGCCATCGCCATTACTTGCTTGGAGCCTTTGTGCGAAATCTTCATTTCTTCAACATCAAACACCACTTGAAACTTGCCGCTTTTGTTGATTTGTGGTATCGACAGCAAGTTCTTGTTCATTCTTGGAACATAAAGCGCGTTCTTGATCTTGACTTCGCGCTCTTCACCATTTGACAGGACCACCTTTTCGATGATCGTCCCAACACCGTTGATCGCAGCCTTGCTCGCCTCTGCAACCAACACTTCACCTTCATTGCGCTCGTCCATAACTTCGAACTTGGACTTGTCATAGCAGATGTGATGTGTTGTACCGCTGTCAATCGCCCACATTCCAGACATGCTCCTGGTCGTTGAAAGTCCGCATTCCGGCAAAACAGAAAACGCCACTCAATCATGGTCATAGTTGTTGTTGCCGTTGTAGCTTTTCCACTGAACTTGATTCGCTCCGCGTCCACGAGCATTGCCGCCGCGTCGAGCTCCCCGATTGTCTTCCTTCTGCTTGGTCCAGCACTTTACCACCATGTGCCCCAATTTTCCACAGAACGTACACTAACGAACCTCACGCTCGGTACTGAAGGCCCTGGTCACTTCTTCAGTTTTCACCGACGTCGTCTTGTTTCCTTGTTTCCTTGTCTCTTGATGTACTCACTCGTCAGCTCTTTCACGGCGTCTTGCGTCCGCAGTTCCACGCTGCTCATCTCCAAGTTCAGCACGACATTCTCGTAGCTCTTGGGGAGGCTGCACAACAAGCAGATCGCCACGTCCTCATCCTCCATCTTGGCACCGATACTGCTGAGCTTGGCGCTGATGTGGAGAACTTCATTGCTGCGGTGCTTGGTATGAGTCGAGAACTGGTGTCTGTTGGGCTGGTGACGGCTTTGCAGTCGCTCATGCCAAAACGTTTGAGAACATCTTCCACGTAGCGTCGCCGGCACATCGTCACGCTACCGTTGTCGTTGTCCACCAGCTCGATGCCCAACACGAATGCGCACTTGCCGCTGTCAGTCATTTCGAAACGCGCCTTTAAGTCACTCTTGGTGCGCATAATCAGTTCGGTCGAACTGCCAGTCACCAGCACATCATTGACGTATACCAGCAAAAGCACGCACTCGCCACTTGTAATCTTGAGATAAAGACACGGGTCAAAATCGGATACTTGAAATCCAGTGGAGCAGACGAACTCATGGAAAGTCTCGTTCCATACACGCGATGCTTGTTTTAGTCCGTAGATCGCCTTGACCAGTTCAAAGCAGTCAAAGTCTTCATCAACCTCGATCCCTTCTGGGATCGCGCAGAATACCTGCTCTTCATTTCTCCGTATAGGAAAGCTGTCACCACGTCCAGTTGGTCCAGTGTCCAGTCAAAGTACTTCGTGATTGCAACCACCATGCGCAGCGTCACGTACTTGACTACCGGCGAAAACGTCTCCGTGTAGTCGATGCCATACTTTTGGCGGAAACCCTTGGCCACAAGTCGTGCCTTGTACTTCTCGATTGACCCATCCGCCTTGCGCTTGATCTTGAACACCCATTTTGTGCCAATGGCGCGTTGTCCGTTGGGCAGCTTGGCTGCACGAAACACACCGCGAAGTCGCATTGACTCGAGCTCTGCATGAATTGCTTTTCTCCAGTGCACTTGGTCAGGGTCGCTTACTGCTGCTTCAAATGTTGAGGGCTCTGATAAGTTCACTGCTGCTTCAACGGCATTTGCACTCGCACGCCAAAACACAGGCGGTGTTGAATCACCAGAATCCTTCGTTTCTTCGTCTTCTTCTTGTCGTGACGAGTTGTTTTCCGGCGCGCTTGACTCTTCTAGTCCTGGTCGTTGACGCACTGCACGCGGTCGTGGAGGTGCTGTATCTTCATCATTGAGTCGGTTCTTGCGCTTGCCTGTTTGCTTGTACTCCATTTGACGCAGCTCTTCGTCATCAAGATCCAGCAATTCGAAGTCCAGGTCATCGACATCTTCATCAGTGATCGGCAGTTGAAGTCCAAAGGTGGACTCTTCGAAGTTGACATCGCGGCTGATAACCACCTGCCCCGCCTCGATGTCATAAACACGATATGCCTTCGAAACTTCTTCGTAGCCCACGAATATGCCAGCGCGAGCCTTTGGATCCCACTTGAGTCGATTCTCTTTAGGCGTCAGTATGTATGTCTGACACCCGAATGTTCGCATGTGCTTGACGCTTGGTTTCAAGTTGTAGACGATCTCAAACGGGGTCTTGTGCACGACTTTAGGTGACGGCAGTCGATTCTTGACGTAGATGGCCGTCATCGCTGCTTCGGCCCAGAAACACTTGTCCAGTTTGGCATGATGAAGCATGCTGCGGCCGATCGTGACAATAGTCCTAATGGCACGCTCTGCTGTTCTGTTTGTTTGATGTGCATACGGCACCGTTGTCTGCTGTTCAATGCCTTCGTCTTCGTAGAACAGTTGAAGCGAGTTGTTTGCAAACTCGCGAGCTCCGTCGTGTCGCACGAACTTGACCTTCTTACAGAATTGCGTCTGTACCATGGTGATATATTTCCGGATGTAGTCTTCACTCTCGGACTTCACTCGTAGACAAAAGCCCTTCATGCATCCACTGGCTTCGTCGATGATCAGCAGCAAATATTTGCTGCCACCGAGCGAATCCTTTTCCATGGGCCCGCAGATGTCCAGATTATTGAGGGTTACCGGTACAATCCGAACCTAGCGCGTAGTTCTTACGAGATAGTTTTTACATCGGTAATTACCTCAGAGATGATTAGACGCGTAGGATGATTGGACGCGTGTAAATCAGGTTGATTAGATGCACCATGTGATTGGATGCAGTCTAGGGTAGGCAGAAGTTAAGACCTATAAATCAATCACTTTCGAATCCTCCCTCAAGTGAGCAAGTGTTCTCTGCTTCGTTCTCTCCGGTCTCTCCGCTTCGTTTTCTCTTCGCCTCGCGCTCAAGTTACAACAGGTTATGAGCCCAAGCGCCATGTCGTCCAACAACACCTCGGCCAGTGTCTCCATCGATAAGTTCGATGGGGACAACTACTCAACCTGGTGTCGCTACATGCGCGGCGTGTTTCTGACGAAGTCAGTCTGGTACGTCGTGAACCGCGAAACGTCTCCAACCTTCACCGACACGCGAGCTTCCGACGAGTACGTCAAGGCGAGCAACATCGCGTTCGGGTTGATGTTGCTCCACATGGACGCCGACTACCACCATGTGGTCGACAACTGTGAAGAAGCATGGACAGCGTGGTCGCGGTTGAAGATGCTCTATGGTGGGTCGCAGAAGGCGGGACGCATCTACCTCAAGCGCCAGCTGTTCAGCATCAAGATGGCGGAAGGTGCCAACGTCTTGCACCATTGCAACGAAGTCTTGAACATCGGCGCCAAGCTCAGCAGCATCGGTGCCAAGATGGAAGACGAAGACATTGCGATCTGCTTGCTGCTCAGTCTCCCGAAGAGTTTCGAGAACGTGGTTCTGAACTTGGAGATGAGCAATGCAGAGCTGCGCACGCAAGATGTGGTCAAGGTGCTGACTAACGAGCACATCAAGCGACAAGGCGAGAAGATGACAACGGCAACGACAACGGTGAAGACTGAAGATGCGACAAAGGCATTCAGTACCGAGCGCAAGCCCTACCAATGCACATACTGCGGCAAGGTGGGGCACACGGCAGAGCGTTGCTGGACGAAGCAAAAGGATGAAAGTCGAGGAGCCCAACGCGGCGGCAATGGTCGTGGACGCGGGGCAAACAATGTCCAGTGGCGACATTATGATGAAGGCAACAGCTACGATCGAGTGGCGTTTGCAGTTTCGTTCGAATGCGGAGTTTCGACGAACAAGAATGGACCAGGAATGTGGGCCGTTGACAGCGGGGCAACACATCACATCTGCCACGACAAGTTCAAGTTTGCAAGCTTGGTCGAAGGCAATGATGGCGAGATCCTGGTGGCTGATGGCAACAAGGCGGCCATCAAAGGTGTGGGGACCATCGTGGAAAAGGTGATTCTGCCAAACGGGGAAGAGCGCGAGATCGAGATCAAGAACGCGCTCTATGTGCCCAGCATGAGCAAAAATCTGCTCTCGGTGCCGCAGATTAACAAGCACGGCAACTTCCAAGTGGTGTTTGACGGGGATACGATGTACGTCGCTCGCAAGGATTCCAATCAAGTGGTGGCAGCTGCGGATCTTGTAGACGGACTCTACTGGCTTCGCACGACGCAGCGATCGGCCAATGCGACATCACTCAGCAACGCTGTTGATCTACATGCGCGAATGGGCCATGCTCCAGTCGACGTGCTTCGCAGGATGGTGACAAGCCACATGATCAAGGACGCTCACATCCCTTCCAAGCCGAATGGATCAAGTGTGTGTCGAGGATGCCAAGAAGGGAAGATGGTCCAAAAACCATTCCCGAGCAACCGTGACAAGCGCACCTACAACACCTTCGAGATGCTCCACTTCGACATCTGCGGACCCATGGAAGAAAAATCTCTGGGTGGCAGCAAGTATCTGCTGCTGATCGTGGATGAAGCCAGCGGATGCATGAAGGGTTTTTGTCTGCATTCCAAGTCAGAGAGCGAAGAGTGCATCAAGAAGTACATCACGATGATACAGACGCAGTTCAACAAGAAGGTCAAATTTGTGCGACACGATGGAGCCCGCGAGTTTGCGACGAACTCGCTTCAAGATTTCTACGAAGTCGAAGGCATCGAGCAACAAACCACGGTGCCATACGCACATCAAGCCAATGGAACTGCTGAACGCGCGATTCGAACTATCGTCACCATCGGTCGTAGCATGCTCCATCATGCCAAGTTGGACAAGTGCTTCTGGGCTGAAGCGGCAATGACGGCCGTCTATGTGAAGAACCGTTTGCCGTCACCCAAGATTCCACACAAGACACCGTTCGAGATTGTCTACAATTCTAAGCCAAGTGTCAAGCACATGCGCGTTTTTGGGTGCCAAGCATACATCTTGACCCCGAAGGAGAAACGACTCAAGTGGGATCCCAAGGCCCGGGCTGGATTGTTTTTGGGCTACGAAGAAGTGTCCAAGGCGTATCGAGTTTACGACATCGAAGCGGGGCAGGTGATGATAAGTCGCGATGTCAACTTCGATGAGTCGGCCTTTGGAATGTCGATGCTGATTTCCGATGACGATGTTGATGGCCTGGACTTCGAATCGATCGATCTTGATGATGAAGAACCGCGTCCAAGACACTTCAAACAAACAGGAAAGCGCAAGGCCCAACCCAGTCACGACAATGACGACGCAAGCATGCCCCGAGCAGTGCGCCAACGACCCGGATTGGAAGAGTCAAGTGCGCCGGATGACCTCTCTTCACGTCGAGCCAACGAAGATGAAGAAAGGAAGTCGGAGGAACAACATGACACACCGACTTCCTCCGCGTTTTGGCATGCGAGTGCAAACGCCGTCGAAGCAGCGGTCGATTTTTCGGAGCCGTCGACATTTGAAGAAGCAGTGTCTGGCCCGGACCAAGTACACTGGCGCAAGGCAATTGATGCGGAGCTCGATTCGATGAAGCTTCGCGGTGTCTTTCGTGCGGCCAAGTTACCCAACGGACAAAGCGCCATTGGCACAAAGTGGGTCTTCAAGATCAAGCGCAAGGCGGATGGGTCGATCGAGAAATACAAGGCACGACTTGTGGCCAAGGGTTTTCGCCAAAAGTATGGCATCGACTACACGGAGACGTTCTCGCCCGTGGTCAAGTATGTGACGCTGCGAATGGTCATCGCCATTACCAAGCACTTTGGATGGCCCCTCGACCAGCTCGATGTGGTGACTGCGTTCCTGTATGGAGTGATGAAGGAGAAGGTGTTCTGCGCTGTTCCGGAAGGCGTCAAGATGGAAGGTGATTTCGACTGTCTCGAGCTGATCAAGGCGATCTACGGTCTCAAGCAAGCCTCGCGTGTTTGGAACGAGACCTTCGACGAGTTCATACGCTCGATTGGTTTTCAAGCGTCGGGATTCGATCCATGTCTCTACATCATGACTTCGGAAGGCCATTGTGTTTTTGTGCTGGTCTACGTGGACGATGTCTTGGTGACTGGAAGCTCGCTCGAGATGATTGCGCGCACCAAGAACGACCTCAAGACACGCTTCGAGATGACGGACAGCGGCAAGTGTGCTTTTGTTCTTGGGATCGAGTTATTGGACGGTGAAGATGGCAGCGTGACTATGTGTCAGCGCCGTTATGTCGACGATGTCCTCAAGCGCTTTGGAATGGATGAGTGCAAGGCTGTGGCAAGTCCGGTGGACGTCAGCTCTCGACTGGTTCCGAGCAACTCTGCAAGCAAGGTGGATGTCCCATTCCGTGAAGCAGTGGGTGCTTTGATGCATCTGACGACTGCAACGCGACCGGACATCGCCTATGCTGTAAGCTTTGTGTCACGGTTCATGGAGAAACCCCAAGAAGAACACTGGGTTGCAGTCAAGCGCATCTTCCGCTACCTACAAGGCACCAAGATGCATGGAATCTGCTACAAGCCAAGTGCGAAGATCGACTTTCGTGGCTATTCAGATGCAGACTGGGCCGGTGACCTTGCTGATCGCAAATCGACGTCCGGCTACGTCTTCATGCTATTGGGTGCTCCGGTGAGTTGGGGCAGCAAGAAACAGCCAAGTGTGTCACTGTCTACAAGCGAAGCGGAGTACATCGCGCTCAGCCTGGCGATCCAAGAAGGCAAGTGGATCAATCGCTTGCTGTGCGAGATCATGGCGGCTGCAAACGAAGAAGGACCCGAGCTCGTCATCCGTGAAGACAACCAGTCGTGCATCAAGATGACGAAGAATCCGGTCAACCACGGCCGCGCTAAACACATCGACATCAAGTACCATCACATCCGTGATGAAGTCAAGCGCGGCGAAGTGAAGCTTGAATACTGCGAGACGACGTTGATGTTGGCGGACATCATGACGAAGGGACTTCACGGACCGCGTCACAAGGACTTGACGGCGGCGCTTGGCATCCGTGCGTGTTCGGATTGAGGGGGCGTATTGAGGGTTACCGGTACAATCCGAACCTAGCGCGTAGTTCTTACGAGATAGTTTTTACATCGGTAATTACCTCAGAGATGATTAGACGCGTAGGATGATTGGACGCGTGTAAATCAGGTTGATTAGATGCACCATGTGATTGGATGCAGTCTAGGGTAGGCAGAAGTTAAGACCTATAAATCAATCACTTTCGAATCCTCCCTCAAGTGAGCAAGTGTTCTCTGCTTCGTTCTCTCCGGTCTCTCCGCTTCGTTTTCTCTTCGCCTCGCGCTCAAGTTACAACACAGATGAAGTAGCTCAAACGTATCATAGCTGCGCTTGTCTCGGTTGCTTGGAAATTGTTTTTGGACCATTTTCCCTTGTTGACATCCTCGACATGTAGTTGCTCCACCCGACTTGAGAGGGACTCGCACATCCTTGATCATGTTGGTCGCGATCATCTTGCGAATTACATCGACTGATGCATGACCCATTCTCGCATGTAGATCGGCACAACTGGTTCCACTTGTTGTCACATTCGCTGATCGTTGAGTCGTCCGAAGCCAGTAGAGTCCATCCACGAGATCCGCTGTCGCCACCACTTGCTGTGAGTTCTTGAGAGTCACATACATCTTGGACCCGTCAAACACGACTTGAAACTTGCCATGGCTGTTAATCTGTGGCACCGAGAGCAGGTTCTTGCTCATACTTGGAACATATAGCGCGTTCTTGATTTCGATCTCACGCTCTTCACCGTTGGGCAGAACCACCTTTTCCATGATGGTTCCCACACCCTTGATGGCCACCTTGTTGCCATCAGCCACCAAGAGTTCTCCCTCGTTGCGCTCTGCCAAACTTGCGAACTTGGTCTTGTCGTGGAAAATGCGGTGCGTTGCACCACTGTCGACGGCCCACATTCCAGACACGTCCTTGCTCGTCGAAACTCCACATTCGAACGAGACTGCAAACGCCACTCGATCGTAGCCATTGCATTCATCATGATGTCCCCACTGGACATTGTTAGCCCCGCGTCCACGACCATTGCCGCCGCGTCGGGCTCCCCGACCTTCGTTCTTCTGTTTTGTCCAGCAACGATCCACCGTGTGTCCCACCTTACCACAATACGTGCATTGGTAGGGCTCACGCTCGGCGCTGAATGCCTTGCTTGCATCTTCAGCCTTCACCGTAGTCGCTGTCGTTGTCCCTTTTTCTCCTTGACGCTTGGCATGCTCATTCGTCAGGACTCTCACCACATCTTGAGTGCGAAGCTCGGTGCTGCTCATTTCCATGTTGAGCACCACATTTTCGTAGCTCTTCGGAAGACTGAGTAGCAGACAAATTGCAACGTCTTCGTCTTCCATCTTCGCACCGATGCCGCTAATCTTGGCGGAGATGTTGAGGACCTCGTTGCAGTGATGCATGACGTTCGCGCCTTCAGCCATCTTGATACTGAAAAGTTGTCGCTTGAGGTAGATGCGTCCTGCCTTCTGCGACCCACCGTACAGCGTCTTCAGACTTGTCCACGCAACCCAGGCTTCCTCGCAGTTGTCCAGCACATGATGGTAGTCCGCGTTCATGTGCAGCAGCATCATACCAAACGCGACGTTGCTTGCCTTGACGTAGTCATCGGACGCTCGCGGGTCGGTGAAAGTCGGATTCACTTCACGGTTGACGACGTGCCAGACGGACTTCGTCAAAAACACACCGCGCATGTACCGGCTACACGTTGCGTAATTGTCTCCGTTGAACTTGTCAATGGAGGCGTTGCTGGTGGACGACATGGCGCTTGGGCTCATAACCTGTTGCATTGTAGATCGGAGCGAGGAAAGCGGAGCAAACGGAGCGGAGAGACCGAAGAGAGTAGAGCAGAAAACACTTGCCCAATAGTTGAAAGATTTGAAAGTGATTGATTATCGGGGCTTACTACTTACTACATGATTTATATGTGGTGTACATATAAATCATGTGAAGCGTCTCATCATCCTACGCGTCTAATCAACTATGGTAATTACCGTAAGAACTACGTCGTAAATACTAAGCTGAACAGGCGGTTCGGATTGGATCGGTCACGGTTACCAACACTGGTAGAAAACCGATGACCGTCAACAATCCACAAGATCGGCCATCGCCATTACTTGCTTGGAGCCTTTGTGCGAAATCTTCATTTCTTCAACATCAAACACCACTTGAAACTTGCCGCTTTTGTTGATTTGTGGTATCGACAGCAAGTTCTTGTTCATTCTTGGAACATAAAGCGCGTTCTTGATCTTGACTTCGCGCTCTTCACCATTTGACAGGACCACCTTTTCGATGATCGTCCCAACACCGTTGATCGCAGCCTTGCTCGCCTCTGCAACCAACACTTCACCTTCATTGCGCTCGTCCATAACTTCGAACTTGGACTTGTCATAGCAGATGTGATGTGTTGTACCGCTGTCAATCGCCCACATTCCAGACATGCTCCTGGTCGTTGAAAGTCCGCATTCCGGCAAAACAGAAAACGCCACTCAATCATGGTCATAGTTGTTGTTGCCGTTGTAGCTTTTCCACTGAACTTGATTCGCTCCGCGTCCACCAGCATTGCCGCCGCGTCGAGCTCCCCGATTGTCTTCCTTCTGCTTGGTCCAGCACTTTACCACCATGTGCCCCAATTTTCCACAGAACGTACACTGACGAACCTCACGCTCGGTACTGAAGGCCCTGGTCGCTTCTTCAGTTTTCACCGACGTCGTCTTGTTTCCTTGTTTCCTTGTCTTTTGATGTACTCACTCGTCAGCTCTTTCACGGCGTCTTGCGTCCGCAGTTCCACGCTGCTCATCTCCAAGTTCAGCACGACATTCTCGTAGCTCTTGGGGAGGCTGCACAACAAGCAGATCGCCGCGTCCTCATCCTCCATCTTGGCACCGATACTGCTGAGCTTGGCGCTGATGTGGAGAACTTCATTGCTGCGGTGCTTGGTATGAGTCGAGAACTGGTGTCTGTTGGGCTGGTGACGGCTTTGCAGTCGCTCATGCCAAAACGTTTGAGAACATCTTCCACGTAGCGTCGCTGGCACATCGTCACGCTACCGTTGTCGTGGTCCACCAGCTCGATGCCCAACACGAATGCGCACTTGCCGCTGTCAGTCATTTCGAAACGCGCCTTTAAGTCACTCTTGGTGCGCATAATCAGTTCGGTCGAACTGCCAGTCACCAGCACATCATTGACGTATACCAGCAAAAGCACGCACTCGCCACTTGTAATCTTGAGATAAAGACACGGGTCAAAATCGGATACTTGAAATCCAGTGGAGCAGACGAACTCATGGAAAGTCTCGTTCCATACACGCGATGCTTGTTTTAGTCCGTAGATCGCCTTGACCAGTTCAAAGCAGTCAAAGTCTTCATCAACCTCGATCCCTTCTGGGATCGCGCAGAATACCTGCTCTTCATTTCTCCGTATAGGAAAGCTGTCACCACGTCCAGTTGGTCCAGTGTCCAGTCAAAGTACTTCGTGATTGCAACCACCATGCGCAGCGTCACGTACTTGACTACCGGCGAAAACGTCTCCGTGTAGTCGATGCCATACTTTTGGCGGAAACCCTTGGCCACAAGTCGTGCCTTGTACTTCTCGATTGACCCATCCGCCTTGCGCTTGATCTTGAACACCCATTTTTGTGCCAATGGCGCGTTGTCCGTTGGGAAGCTTGGCTGCACGAAACACACCGCGAAGTCGCATTGACTCGAGCTCTGCATGAATTGCTTTTCTCCAGTGCACTTGGTCAGGGTCGCTTACTGCTGCTTCAAATGTTGAGGGCTCTGATAAGTTCACTGCTGCTTCAACGGCATTTGCACTCGCACGCCAAAACACAGGCGGTGTTGAATCACCAGAATCCTTCGTTTCTTCGTCTTCTTCTTGTCGTGACGAGTTGTTTTCCGGCGCGCTTGACTCTTCTAGTCCTGGTCGTTGACGCACTGCACGCGGTCGTGGAGGTGCTGTATCTTCATCATTGAGTCGGTTCTTGCGCTTGCCTGTTTGCTTGTACTCCATTTGACGCAGCTCTTCGTCATCAAGATCCAGCAATTCGAAGTCCAGGTCATCGACATCTTCATCAGTGATCGGCAGTTGAAGTCCAAAGGTGGACTCTTCGAAGTTGACATCGCGGCTGATAACCACCTGCCCCGCCTCGATGTCATAAACACGATATGCCTTCGAAACTTCTTCGTAGACCACGAATATGCCAGCGCGAGCCTTTGGATCCCACTTGAGTCGATTCTCTTTAGGCGTCAGTATGTATGTCTGACACCCGAATGTTCGCATGTGCTTGACGCTTGGTTTCAAGTTGTAGACGATCTCAAACGGGGTCTTGTGCACGACTTTAGGTGACGGCAGTCGATTCTTGACGTAGATGGCCGTCATCGCTGCTTCGGCCCAGAAACACTTGTCCAGTTTGGCATGATGAAGCATGCTGCGGCCGATCGTGACAATAGTCCTAATGGCACGCTCTGCTGTTCTGTTTGTTTGATGTGCATACGGCACCGTTGTCTGCTGTTCAATGCCTTCGTCTTCGTAGAACAGCTGAAGAGGGTTGGTTGCAAACTCGCGAGCTCCGTCGTGTGCACACGGAATTGACCTTCTTACAGAATTGCGTCTGTACCATGGTGATATATTTCCGGATGTAGTCTTCACTCTCGGACTTCACTCGTAGACAAAAGCCCTTCATGCATCCACTGGCTTCGTCGATGATCAGCAGCAAATATTTGCTGCCACCGAGCGAATCCTTTTCCATGGGCCCGCAGATGTCCAGATGAAGTAGCTCAAACGTATCGTAGCTGCGCTTGTCTCGGTTGCTTGGAAATGGTTTTGGACCATTTTCCCTTGTTGACATCCTCGACATGTAGTTGCTCCACCCGACTTGAGAGGGACTCGCACATCCTTGATCATGTTGGTCGCGATCATCTTGCGAAGTACATCGACTGGAGCATGACCCATTCTCGCATGTAGATCGGCACAACTGGTTCTACTTGTTGTCACATTCGCTGATCGTTGAGTCGTCCGAAGCCAGTAGAGTCCATCCACGAAATCCGCTGTCGCCACCACTTGCTGTGAGTTCTTGAGAGTCACATACATCTTGGACCCGTCAAACACGACTTGAAACTTGCCATGGCTGTTAATCTGTGGCACCGAGAGCAGGTTCTTGCTCATACTTGGAACATATAGCGCGTTCTTGATTTCGATCTCACGCTCTTCACCGTTGGGCAGAACCACCTTTTCCATGATGGTTCCCACACCCTTGATGGCCACCTTGTTGCCATCAGCCACCAAGAGTTCGCCCTCATTGCGCTCTGCCAAACTTGCGAACTTGGTTTTGTCGTGGCAAATGTGGTGCGTTGCACCACTGTCGACGGGCCACATTCCAGACACGTCCTTGCTCGTCGAAACTCCACATTCGAACGAGACTGCAAACGCCACTCGATCGTAGCCATTGCATTCATCATGATGTCCCCACTGGACATTGTTAGCCCCGCGTCCACGACCATTGCCGCCGCGTCGGGCTCCCCGACCTTCGTTCTTCTGCTTTGTCCAGCAACGATCCACCGTGTGTCCCACCTTACCACAATACGTGCATTGGTAGGGCTCACGCTCGGCGCTGAATGCCTTGCTTGCATCTTCAGCCTTCACCGTAGTCGCTGTCGTTGTCCCTTTTTCTCCTTGACGCTTGGCATGCTCATTCGTCAGGACTCTCACCACATCTTGAGTGCGAAGCTCGGTGCTGCTCATTTCCATGTTGAGCACCACATTTTCGTAGCTCTTCGGAAGACTGAGTAGCAGACAAATTGCAACGTCTTCGTCTTCCATCTTCGCACCGATGCCGCTAAGCTTGGCGGAGATGTTGAGGACCTCGTTGCAGTGATGCATGACGTTCGCGCCTTCAGCCATCTTGATACTGAAAAGTTGTCGCTTGAGGTAGATGCGTCCTGCCTTCTGCGACCCACCGTACAGCGTCTTCAGACTTGTCCACGCAACCCAGGCTTCCTCGCAGTTGTCCAGCACATGATGGTAGTCCGCGTTCATGTGCAGCAGCATCATACCAAACGCGACGTTGCTTGCCTTGACGTAGTCATCGGACGCTCGCGGGTCGGTGAAAGTCGGATTCACTTCACGGTTGACGACGTGCCAGACGGACTTCGTCAAAAACACACCGCGCATGTACCGGCTACACGTTGCGTAATTGTCTCCGTTGAACTTGTCAATGGAGGCGTTGCTGGTGGACGACATGGCGCTTGGGCTCATAACCTGTTGCATTGTAGATCGGAGCGAGGAAAGCGGAGCAAACGGAGCGGAGAGACCGAAGAGAGTAGAGCAGAAAACACTTGCCCAATAGTTGAAAGATTTGAAAGTGATTGATTATCGGGGCTTACTACTTACTACATGATTTATATGTGGTGTACATATAAATCATGTGAAGCGTCTCATCATCCTACGCGTCTAATCAACTATGGTAATTACCGTAAGAACTACGTCGTAAATACTAAGCTGAACAGGCGGTTCGGATTGGATCGGTCACGGTTACCAACACTGGTAGGAAACCGATGACCGTCAACAATCCACAAGATCGGCCATCGCCATTACTTGCTTGGAGCCTTTGTGCGAAATCTTCATTTCTTCAACATCAAACACCACTTGAAACTTGCCGCTTTTGTTGATTTGTGGTATCGACAGCAAGTTCTTGTTCATTCTTGGAACATAAAGCGCGTTCTTGATCTTGACTTCGCGCTCTTCACCATTTGACAGGACCACCTTTTCGATGATCGTCCCAACACCGTTGATCGCAGCCTTGCTCGCCTCTGCAACCAACACTTCACCTTCATTGCGCTCGTCCATAACTTCGAACTTGGACTTGTCATAGCAGATGTGATGTGTTGTACCGCTGTCAATCGCCCACATTCCAGACATGCTCCTGGTCGTTGAAAGTCCGCATTCCGGCAAAACAGAAAACGCCACTCAATCATGGTCATAGTTGTTGTTGCCGTTGTAGCTTTTCCACTGAACTTGATTCGCTCCGCGTCCACCAGCATTGCCGCCGCGTCGAGCTCCCCGATTGTCTTCCTTCTGCTTGGTCCAGCACTTTACCACCATGTGCCCCAATTTTCCACAGAACGTACACTGACGAACCTCACGCTCGGTACTGAAGGCCCTGGTCGCTTCTTCAGTTTTCACCGACGTCGTCTTGTTTCCTTGTTTCCTTGTCTCTTGATGTACTCACTCGTCAGCTCTTTCACGGCGTCTTGCGTCCGCAGTTCCACGCTGCTCATCTCCAAGTTCAGCACGACATTCTCGTAGCTCTTGGGGAGGCTGCACAACAAGCAGATCGCCGCGTCCTCATCCTCCATCTTGGCACCGATACTGCTGAGCTTGGCGCTGATGTGGAGAACTTCATTGCTGCGGTGCTTGGTATGAGTCGAGAACTGGTGTCTGTTGGGCTGGTGACGGCTTTGCAGTCGCTCATGCCAAAACGTTTGAGAACATCTTCCACGTAGCGTCGCTGGCACATCGTCACGCTACCGTTGTCGTGGTCCACCAGCTCGATGCCCAACACGAATGCGCACTTGCCGCTGTCAGTCATTTCGAAACGCGCCTTTAAGTCACTCTTGGTGCGCATAATCAGTTCGGTCGAACTGCCAGTCACCAGCACATCATTGACGTATACCAGCAAAAGCACGCACTCGCCACTTGTAATCTTGAGATAAAGACACGGGTCAAAATCGGATACTTGAAATCCAGTGGAGCAGACGAACTCATGGAAAGTCTCGTTCCATACACGCGATGCTTGTTTTAGTCCGTAGATCGCCTTGACCAGTTCAAAGCAGTCAAAGTCTTCATCAACCTCGATCCCTTCTGGGATCGCGCAGAATACCTGCTCTTCATTTCTCCGTATAGGAAAGCTGTCACCACGTCCAGTTGGTCCAGTGTCCAGTCAAAGTACTTCGTGATTGCAACCACCATGCGCAGCGTCACGTACTTGACTACCGGCGAAAACGTCTCCGTGTAGTCGATGCCATACTTTTGGCGGAAACCCTTGGCCACAAGTCGTGCCTTGTACTTCTCGATTGACCCATCCGCCTTGCGCTTGATCTTGAACACCCATTTTGTGCCAATGGCGCGTTGTCCGTTGGGAAGCTTGGCTGCACGAAACACACCGCGAAGTCGCATTGACTCGAGCTCTGCATGAATTGCTTTTCTCCAGTGCACTTGGTCAGGGTCGCTTACTGCTGCTTCAAATGTTGAGGGCTCTGATAAGTTCACTGCTGCTTCAACGGCATTTGCACTCGCACGCCAAAACACAGGCGGTGTTGAATCACCAGAATCCTTCGTTTCTTCGTCTTCTTCTTGTCGTGACGAGTTGTTTTCCGGCGCGCTTGACTCTTCTAGTCCTGGTCGTTGACGCACTGCACGCGGTCGTGGAGGTGCTGTATCTTCATCATTGAGTCGGTTCTTGCGCTTGCCTGTTTGCTTGTACTCCATTTGACGCAGCTCTTCGTCATCAAGATCCAGCAATTCGAAGTCCAGGTCATCGACATCTTCATCAGTGATCGGCAGTTGAAGTCCAAAGGTGGACTCTTCGAAGTTGACATCGCGGCTGATAACCACCTGCCCCGCCTCGATGTCATAAACACGATATGCCTTCGAAACTTCTTCGTAGACCACGAATATGCCAGCGCGAGCCTTTGGATCCCACTTGAGTCGATTCTCTTTAGGCGTCAGTATGTATGTCTGACACCCGAATGTTCGCATGTGCTTGACGCTTGGTTTCAAGTTGTAGACGATCTCAAACGGGGTCTTGTGCACGACTTTAGGTGACGGCAGTCGATTCTTGACGTAGATGGCCGTCATCGCTGCTTCGGCCCAGAAACACTTGTCCAGTTTGGCATGATGAAGCATGCTGCGGCCGATCGTGACAATAGTCCTAATGGCACGCTCTGCTGTTCTGTTTGTTTGATGTGCATACGGCACCGTTGTCTGCTGTTCAATGCCTTCGTCTTCGTAGAACAGCTGAAGCGAGTTGGTTGCAAACTCGCGAGCTCCGTCGTGTCGCACGAACTTGACCTTCTTACAGAATTGCGTCTGTACCATGGTGATATATTTCCGGATGTAGTCTTCACTCTCGGACTTCACTCGTAGACAAAAGCCCTTCATGCATCCACTGGCTTCGTCGATGATCAGCAGCAAATATTTGCTGCCACCGAGCGAATCCTTTTCCATGGGCCCGCAGATGTCCAGATGAAGTAGCTCAAACGTATAGTAGCTGCGCTTGTCTCGGTTGCTTGGAAATGGTTTTTTGGACCATTTTCCCTTGTTGACATCCTCGACATGTAGTTGCTCCACCCGACTTGAGAGGGACTCGCACATCCTTGATCATGTTGGTCGCGATCATCTTGCGAAGTACATCGACTGGAGCATGACCC